GCCATCTACTTCTGAATGCTATCGGCTTGAAAGCACGTGTCATTGCACAATACTTTCTTGCAAAGCATGAGTCTCCCGCACTCGTTCATACCCTCTGGTAAACTAACATAGCTATGGAAAATCCACCCATTTTTAATGGGAAAACTCACTATAAATGGCCATTTTCAATAGCTATGTTAGTTTACCAGAGGGTAACTCTCTTCGAGTTGTCCATAGAGTTTCTATGGGTTTGCTCCTATCCACCGCGTGTTTGCTGGACTTAAAAAATCCACATATCTGAAGAACATTCACCCCGCCCGCCTCATCATATGCGCATCGTCATCAGCCATCTACTTCTGAATGCTATCGGCTTGAAAGCACGTGTCATTGCACAATACTCCCTGCTCGCTGTCAACATGCACACTCTTTGACAAGATCTGCTATAACTTCATAGCCCAAATAAGCGGAAGATGATTGCGTCAAGACATGGTTCAACAAAGCTGCAACTTACAGAGCTTCAAGGACACACTACCGCGCAGGCCACTTTTCATCAGGTGGCCTGGTCGTCTCAGACATTTACTGTTACGGAGACAATTGAAACAGCAGATCCAGCGTGTACATACTCTGATGTCGACATACAATAGTTTTCAGGTGCAGGATGTAGCAGTCGTGGCAAGTCGAGAAAGAACATGCCAACAAACGTTACCAGACGCACTGCTGAATTCAGACGCACTCTGCAACCGTCAGTGATGATGGCAGTTGGGTTAGGTTAAGAATTTGCGAAAGGTGGTTGAACGCCTTCCGTTAAGGACCTACCCATGATGGTATTGTGACAGCAGGAGAGTCTGGCAAGGGAATCCTCTAGAAAGTCATCAGCTACTTTTCTCAAGGGTTGCCACTGATACAAACAAGGGGTCCTTTCAAGCATTTCTCGTCTAAGCATCTAGCCAGACTCTATCCCAAAAGAAATACACAGTTATCCAGTTGAATTATGCATAGGACAGCAGAAATGCGCCTCTACCAATTGTCAATGCTCCAAGCAAGCAAACTGTACTATGTACACAGATGTGGCGGCCAGCCATCCGCACTCTCGAAACGTTTTTCACGTCAATACCATCAACACACCATGACAAAATCATGGCTGGATTCAAAACATATAATTGATCTATTTTTAGAGTTCTATATTATATATATAGATATCTAGCTATATAGGAGCTTGTCACCACATTGTTGACCTCACCAGAAAGACCAAGGTGACCAGGCCCACGTATCATGTCAGTAGGGAAGCTGACATATCTCCACAGAGGAAATGACCGCATGATGGCAGAAGTCCAGATTCACCCAATTTTCCTCGGAGTCAAGCACGTGTCAGCCGCTTGCTTGAATGTCCATCTGAAATACTAAGGCGCAAGCTTCTTTTACGTCTCTCGGCAAGAGGCAATTTTCAGACCTCAACTGGAAACTACCATCTCGGCTTCAATCATACGAAAATCCATGGCTCTGCTATTTTCAAGTACACTAACATGTTGGGATCCACGCAAAGCAAAACCGGCACTGACCGTCACCTTCTGCGGGTCACTGCTGGCCTGCAAATCTCGGATGTCCATCCCCCTGGTGGTCGTAAACCATCATGATATGAACATGATGTGAATTTAGCCTTAGATGACTTCCCCCTTTCAATAGTAATCTTGCCTTGAAAACACAGCATCGGAACAATCTCTGCATGGATCACCGCTTCGAGAAAGGCTAAGGACCTTTTTCGGCACAGGCTTGGCCTCACCGGAGATGAAGACGAAGTCACGAAGACAGAAAAGCTTGCAATATTACTCACTGTCATGTCGTGTAGTGTAATGTAGTGTAGCGTCGTGGAATGTAGTGGAATGTAGTGATGACAAGAAGACGGAGCCTGACAGGACCTGGTCCGTACAAAACTTGAGTCGGTCTGTGGTTCACAGCTAAAAACAAAAACATTGGTTTCTTCCAACAGTTTGCCATCATCTGCTTGCACTGCTTTTCATACACTGATACACTAGTGGATGCCAATGCAGATACCAACAAATTCAATGACTAATTGCATATAGTATCCTACGCTGAAACTGCCTTGGGAACATGAACTCCTCCTCCGCTTGGATTTCAGTGGCCTGCGTGCGCACATGCACGCGGAACAAGTAGACACGGGTTTTTCCACTTACCAAGTTTTAAGGTTCTGTTTGGAGATTTCCACTTTGGCAGTGGACACAAGGGACCCTGTTAGACATAGCCGGTGCATGTATGCTCTCCTTTCTACGTGCTCTAAATGCGGCTGCGTTTGGGTTGTGGCAATCACACTGCGAAAGAGAAATCTGCCTTCAGTGTAACAAGTTGCAGAAGCACCAGCTGCACCATTCGTCTGCCTTGCCAAATTCTTACTCACCCAATGTGGAATTCAGACCTTCTGAACTTTATACTTGCCTGCCTTCATTTCCTGAAAGTATTTTTCCTCAACAAGTTGCAACCAAGTTTACATGCCACATCTTGCATTACTCCAATCACATAACCAAAAACGAACACGCTGCTCCCGATAGTCAAAATGGTCGTACTCCAACCGAAGTTCTGATGCCATTACCTTACTGCACTGAGTTGGCAACAATTGAAAACAAATCAATTTTGTGAACCTCTTCAATCCAAATAGAACCTGTAGATCTACTAGCTGCAATGATCGAAATGTCCAAGCGATCCTTCTGAAAAATTTCAGGCTCGCGCTACAAGACATCATGGAGCGAATGTGCGAACACGCCCTCGCTAGACTTTCCGAAATGGTAGGATGGTTTCTGCGAAAAATAATCGATGATTTGTCTCAACCTGAGGGAAGCACCTCCATGTCATACTTGCAGCCTGCTGCCAGCGGTCGGCAGCTGCACATGCACTGATACGGCGATTCCAAACCTTGGGGACAAAAATACGCGATAAACCTTCTAAGTACATCATGAATTATTATACAGATATATATATATATAGAGAATATATATATATGTGTGTTCATTATATATTGGTTCTATATTTGCTCTATATTTCTTATATATTTGCTATATGAACTTCCTAATGGACTTCGTCATGGCAAGTGCACAGCCCATGACCACTGCCTGCAGAATGCATCAAACGTATTGGTATATGACCTATGAGTCAATTTTCCTCCTTTTCCAACAACTTCATGTCTCGACCTTCCCAGTCTAACAAATCGGCCTGCAAATTCCCGTGGCGCTCATGGCAGAACTTCGACCCTAGCCATCACTGCCTCAGCCACGAATTTTATCGCGACTAGACATCAGCAACTGCAGCCAGTACCTCTTCCCACACTCAATACATGTACCTTGCCAATGCAGGCATCCCCGGCGACATAAAGATCTGAGCACTAGCCCATGCTTCAGAAATACATTTTTCCCTCATATCACCAAATCACCAGCACTAGCTCCCAAGCTAAAAGCAATCATGTGAAACATTGGTCTCCGGTAGTTAAACCCCGCAAACAACCCCCACAGTGCGGAACCTCGAAACGGCTGCATAGCAAATCTAGCCCACTCTTGCTTCAAAGTGGGAAAGATATCGCTTCGCCAGTTATTGAGCGGAGCTTGGCAACTCCAGTTCCGCATCACCTGGCATAATTTGCATAGAGCGCCTTTGCATTCCTCAGCGCCTGGGACAGCAGGTCTCATGCAGTGCAAATAATCGAAGACCACCAACCCAAGAGGAGACTTCTGTCCGCTCTTCTTCTTCTTCTTCTTCTTCTTCCTTCTTCATCTCGATTCAAATCACGCAGTCCAGGCACTCAGCTGCAGCCCCCCAGGCAAAGAATTCAGCTCGTGGTTGATTGCATCGAAGACCCTATAGCAAACAAACGCCGTGTTCAGAGACTTTTTGGAGAGGCATGCATGACGCAGTGATTCTTGTGTCTCTTGCTGCCGGCCACAAACTCTCAGATTCAAAAATGGGAACCTTCCTTCCTGCTTCTATGGTCTCAACGTGTTCCAATTTGTCATATACATATGCCACCATCTTGGTTCAACCCACAATGCCAAAGCACTCCGCAGGAGGACGTTTAGCAAAGAGGAATCGTAGCGCAATGCTTGTTCGCGGCCCATGGCTACTGCAGGCCTCTCAATGCATTGCTGTCTTCAAAGATCTTCAAAGCTTCGTCCAAAAGTAAACCCCCGAGATTCTACCACCGCCCGGCCTCCAGTGCATTCTTCTCATGAAGCGCTGCTACCATTCCAAGTTCCTACCAAGGTCCATTTCAAGCACTGCGTCAAAAACACAAATTCTCATTGCCGGCCCCCCTTTCTCACTGCACGTTTCCTCTCTCAGAAAATTACCTACAATTCTACCGCCCAGCCTCCAATGATCTCTTAATATGAGGCACCATCAAACGCCAACCCCTTTCGAAGCGGGTGCTTTGAAGCATCTCCACCAAAGTATCATCCTTAGAAGATGAGCACCCACTGTCTTTTCCTTTTGTCTCTCTTGTTTTCTACAAGCTTTCTTCCTTACCCAACTGAAATTCTCAATTGAATCTCCAGGTTCGCTTGCACAAGCAATTGCTACTTCACTGCAGCAGACTAAGCGAAAGACGTTTAGAAGTCAAACTTCCAACAAGATGAACACATGCAAAGCAGAGCCGGGCAGAAGCAGCGAGAAGGGCAAGCTTCGAAGGAAACCGATCTCGAAGAAAGAGTCAGAAGACTGACGATGCACATGCACGCAAAGCTAGACAAGTCACAATTCACTATCCCACTGATTGAAGCTCGCTCAAGCAGCGCATGCGGAGCCAGCTAGCCAGATAAGAGACGAAAAAACACCATTGGGACGCAAAACACATTTCCAAGTCAACATGTTAAAACCACCAGGGGTGCAGCCCACATTTGGCACTTGCAAGGTCGAAAACGTGCACGCAGGTGTGAGACGTTTTGAAATCAAACTGTTAAAACCACTTGGGTTCAGATCACTTTTGACAGTTCAGGTGTCGCTTCGCTTCGCTTCACTGCACAACTACACACCTACAAACTGCACTGACATGACACTACACAACCCTCTACTTGACATGACACTCCACTCCGCTCCACTACACGACAACAACTCAACTACATTCCACGACACGCAACTACACTGCATTCACGAATGAACCATTAGTTTTCCATCTGCCCCACTCAGCTCAGTCGCATCCACAGTGCCGTCTGTTTCAAAGGTGTAGCAGAACGTAGTCAAGGCTCCGCTAACATCCTTGGCACAAATCAATATGAATTTCGCACGTATAAGCTCTTATGCAACATACAATAGACATGTTTTCGTCTTGCTTTGGACGCACTGCCCTTTCAAATGAGCGCCAGACACCAAGAGTATACGCCCGGGCGTCCATGTTTGGAAGCGCTCTTTCACCGTTCCTGCACCAGAGTTTGGGTGGGCGCTGTCACTACATGTCTTCCTCCGACCGATTGAACCACACTATGTGTCAAATGATGTTCACAAGTACCCGTGTCACTCGCTTTGAGCCGCTTTACTTCAATTCGTACCATCCGGCTACTATAAACTGAAAAAAAGGGTATGCTGATCCCTGCTCACCATTCAGTGTCCTCAACACCTTGTCAGGAATGAAGCTTCGTCTCGCTTGAACTTTTTGCATCTTTCCTACCAAGTTAGTAACGTCAGAGAAATTCATGACGGGAACACTTCCACGTCCAAGCTACCGCTATGAACGAGGGCACAAAGTCACTGCCGCACCATAGAAGCTAGGCATCGTACAGATCATGTGATATGGTGCACAGGTTCCTACAAAGACAAATCATTCTATAAGCATGGAGCTTCCAAACTGCCATACTGCTGTCACTGTCAGAAGAAAATGCCTATGGTATACCCAACTCTCTAACTCCAAGTATCTCCTCCTCTGTACCAAAAACCATTTTTGAACCCATGGTCTAGCCTAATTGGTCCACCACTGTGCCGCACGTGATGATGGTTTGTGGCTCAAGAAGTGCGAGAACCTGTTTGCCTTCGTCCAGCAAGAAAGTTCGCCAATTGGCTGCAACACTTTTGCATGTGAACGGCACAACTTTGCTCCATTAGTCGAGACACACAGCTGTAGTGATCGACAGTGCAGCAAGACAATAGCCACGCACAACCTCACATGCGGATTCTCCCATGAGGACCACATCTCTGTCTTCTTCAGCTCCATGACAAGACCATCTTCGCCTCACATGTCGCTCACTGCATGGAACGAGGTCAGTACAAAAGGGGGGATGCGATTAGAAGATGCTGCTGATGACAATAACGCACTTGCTTCTCCTCCTGCTGATGATAATGTTGCTGATGCGGCTAATTATGATGATGATGCTGCTGAAGCTCCTGCTGGTGACGGTTCTCATCATCATCACAGGTTTCCTAATTAGAGTGCCTGACGATTCAACTCCTTATCCCGATGATGTTGCTAATGTCGTTGCTGCTCATTAGGACACTGACACCGACGCACGGAAATAGCCATGTCAAGCATCACCACCAAAGCACTACAACGTCGCAAGCATCATACCAGAAACTCATTTGACCTCCTGTTGGACCACATCAAAGGATTGATTAGACAATGTAAACCAACAAGATAATCCCTGTTGGGTTTGCAATCCAAGCTACCCTTTTTCATCGCATGAATTTCAGAACCGAAGACCGCAGCCGGGATGTCAAAGTCCCCAGAGTTCCAAGTGAGCAGCGGGTTGATCACCTCAACGGATTACTGTCCAAACCAACGCTTATGTGTTGTTTGTTTCCTGCTACGACTTCCGAGATGTGTCACGCAATCTCCCCAGGTATACATCTTGGTCACCGCCCATCATGAGTGCTGCCAGACTGCCCGCGTTGTCTCCAAAGTTGATATCTCTCGGGCCTGTTCAGGAGTCACCTGAAAAAATGCACACCAGAATGCATTTTAGCCTGCTTCTCCTTTTCACCCCCACTGCACTATCTCAAACAATACCCAAAACTTGAACATGGTACCCGTGCTGAAACTCTTTCTCGCAGCATCTCGCTGGATGCTTCCCGGCGCCAGCACCAATTGCCAGCTGAGCTGCTTTGAAATGCCGTAGCCAGAACACTTCAGCCGCTAGCCTGCGCACAATCGCGAAGAAACAGGCTCGTATGTGATATGTTTCTGGCGTCTACCCTTTTTTCTCCATGATGTTCCCTCTTTGCACCTCTCTGGCGCGATGGCAAATCCAGCTTCCCTCCAAAAGCGCTGCCAATCTGGCTTCTTCAACCTGCCAGCCGCGTGCTGCAGCGCCCATCGGAAACCTCTCCACGTAGAGGCTTGCTGAGACTTCTTCTTCGCCTCATTCATGTGTTTACACCAATCCATAGACGATAGACCTAGATACCAAAGCTTCGTTCCCCCTATTGACAGAAAACATGTCCCAGACTGATTGCAAGCAACCCTGAAAACCTGATCGTTCCAGTCCAGACATTTCACTTAGTCACACTATTTGCCAAGAAACTTTTACAAATTCCGCTGCTTTGCGAACGAGGCTCTTCCGCTTCCGCCCCCGCTTCCGCCCCATTGCAGCACGAAATGGAATGTCTACCAGTTCTACATCTTTTCTGCAATACCCAACTTCTGAACAACAGCTTGGACATTGCGAACAAAGTGCTACATGACACTAATAAGATCCATTGCAGGAGAATCCTTCACAGGAGTCCTCCGTTCTGTCTTTTTTCAGATTGTTCCTTCGACACCGGATCCCTGAAGAATTCAAGGGCTGCAACACCAAATCACTCAACCCTTCGGCCATGCAAGTCAATACCATGACCCCAACATCAAAGAATAAATCTCCATTAGTCTCGCCCATGTACAAGGGCTTGGAAGGTTATCATGTCATGGGACTCAGAAAACCCAACAAATTGCCCTAACATCTCTCACACTTCAGAAAAGGTAATTCCTTTCCGGGGTCGGCGGCAGGGGCGGCAGCCCTTAAATAATTTGATAGAAATTAGGAAATTAAGATATTTAAATGTTTAAATGTTTGCACACACATTGCTAGACTTCAGGTGACTGGCTTTATAGGTCATCATCGGATCTCCGATCCGGCTCTCCCAGACGGCCTTCCTTTTGGTTATCGTCCAATCCCTACTCGGATGAGAATTCCCGTTGACCCGACAGGGACAATCCACAGTTGCCAGCCCCAACAGTAGATCATGACTGGTTGGTGGTGCAATAACCATCTCTGAAAAACGATGGAGTTCGTCAATGGGTTTCGGATGACATCCCTTTTTTATGAAATGGAAGTCATAAAAGCCATGTTTGAAACCACCAACCAGTGATTATTAACCATTATTAACCATTATTAACCATGATTAACCATTATTAACCATTAATATTAACCATGATTAAGCGTCATGAAAACCCATTCCAAATGATCCAAATGTTTGAAACCACCAATCAGCAAAAAATAAGTCTCCGGGGGACTCCGGGGATCATTTTTTACCCCGCTGATTTCTCCACACGTTGCTTCAGTTAATGTAGGTCCTGAACACCACGATTCGTAGGTCCTCAACTGACCAGCATTTGCAGGCTATCTTCCTATTCTTGGTTTGTCAAGTCCTTTTTGTTTTGGAAAGTCAATAGGGGTGTATTCCCATGATATACCCACATAAGCATCAATCACCAGTTGATTTCTCGAGCAAGTATCATCACTTCTGGTTGAAATCCCCATAACTCTTGCAATTCTTGGTGAACATACCCATTTTGGATACTTCAATTAAATCACAATGTTTCGTTGTTAGATCCCCATGTCTTATAGTTAAGTCACCTTAAGTTCATATTTCCGAGAGTCAAACATCATACTCTGGGTTTTTACGTGTACCAGAAGATGTGGAACATCCATGGTTTCGCGGTTGGAAAATGATCTACTTCCAATCCATGGTTTCTCCACATCTGTATGTTTACCCTCTGGTTATGACTAACATAGCTATGGAAAATGGACCATTTATAGATGTTGTACCTATTTATAGATGGTGATTTTCAATAGCTATGTTAGTTTACCAGAGGGTACCAGAGGGTACCAGAGGGTAATACCCGGTAATCAAACACGGCTGATCCACCAACGATGATCCCAGCTATGTCGCCTGCTCCATTTTGCTGTTTGGAACTGTGATCTACTTTCCTAGTGGCGTCTCCCCATCCACATCTTTTTACATGGGGGTTTCCTAAAATAAGGGTACCCCTAGTTCTCATCCATTTTACTAAAAAAAACATTATAAACCATCCAGCTATTGGGGTAGCTCCATTTATGGAAACCATATATTTACCACGTCGCACCAGGGGCCCTAAATAGTCGTCGTGGTCGCACCTCCAGACATGTTGCAGCATCTGGGCCGCATAGGATGGACGCTGGCAAGGAATCATCACCTGGCGCGACTGTGGCGTCGCGTTTTTTTTTGGGATACCCGGCCTGGTAAACATACAAAAAACTATGGAAAATCACCAGGTTTAATGGGAAATTCCACTATTTTTATGGTCATTTTCAATAGCTATGTTAAATTACCAGAGGGTACAATTGGTGGCAACTCCAAAAACATAGAAAAACATGCTAACCTGAAAAACATGGTGGGAACATCATGCTACTTTACATCCTGGAATGTTCATAATTTAAATCCCCCAACCATTGTTGTAATGAAGTTCGGCCATATTGACAACTCCAAACATATACCCTCTGGTAAACTAACATGATTAGCTTTGGAAAATCACCATTTGAATAACAAAAACAACTATAAATGGGCCATGTTCAATAGCCATATGTCAAATTACCAGAGGGCAATCCCTTTTAGATCCTTTATTCTTAGCTTTCCCCCATAAAATCCAATTCATACAATTTATCCTCATCATATATCAAATCCACATCATACTCCAGATAATCACATTTCAATCCAACAATAAAACCACATTATTGGTTGCAATTTTGAATTCACACCCTATTAAAACTCATGATAAAATTGAATTATTCATAACCCATGAAAATCCAATTTGTTGCTGCATATATCATAATCCCATTTCACTATAATCCCATTCAAATCAAAGTTCATTGTTAGTATCCCATAAAACGGCCCATTCATATCCCATTTAAGCGGGCATACAACCATGATTATAGGGTTATATCTCAACTTATGGGGGTTATAATCATGGTTCATGTTTGTAAAACGATGCCATGTTTACCATCCCCCAGTCATCACCATTTTAAGAGGTGGTATGGGTAATCCATTCCTAGGTTTATGGCATTATGTTACCCACATTATACCCAAACTGGTTGGTGGTGCAATAACCATCTTGAAAAATGACGGAGTTCGGGAAGGATGACATCCCATATATCCCTGTACGAGTTCACCGGGTCAGGTTAACCCTCCTTAGGGGGGTTAACCCCCCTGAAATCCTAGAGGAAACTCATACTGGTATTCCCATATAATATGAAAAATGATCCAAATGTTTGAAACCACCAACCAGCAAAAAATAACCCATTTTGCCCAGGGAAAAACTCTAAAAAACCGGCGCCTCCAGAAGACACGCTGGAGGCCGCAGCGCCCACCAACAGCGTGCGAACTAGTTGCGGATCGAACCTGGCACCGGAACATGCGATGTTTCATGGGAAACTCAATGGAAAAATCATGGGATAATGATAGGAACATCAATGGAAGATGTTTCATGGGAAAAACATCATCTATTTCTTAGGCTGGAAAGAACTGTTATAGGAAAACATGTTGGAAAATCAATGAACATCATCGATTTCGCGAACATCTTTGATGCAACTCAAGGCTGCACGGCTGACATTTATTTTTTTCATTCGTTATCAATTGGAGGACCATGATCCCTTCGTAAGGAACAAGTACTGTAGTTTCCTCAGCTATCGTTAAGTGTTGATAGCTACGGGGATGCTCGAAACTGGATGATTCTCCAATATTCTACATGTTTTCCAGCTAGTTCGCAATCCCAGCTTACTTGTCTAATCCCGTGGTTCGGAATCTCTGTAGCTCCAACTGGCTCCCCATTGAAACTGTTCCTCCAAGATGGTGACCCCAGTTCCGATGGTTCCCCAACATGTTGAGTCAATGGGTTGGCTGAAGGGAAATTCTAAGCTGAGACCGTGAATTTACAAGCCAAATATGGTGCTTTCCTGCAATTTCTTCCTTGAAGTAGTTGGGAATGGCGCTGAGGGGCGCCTGGTGGTTTTAAGGTGGTTTGCGTGCACTTCCCAATGCAACTGCGCATGATGCCTTGCACGCCCGTTTTTTCATTTTTCAAAAACTACTTCAACCATCTTCAACCATGGAACAATTTCAGCGTAACATGATCATGAACGTTAACATCCCACCCCGCACCACCCCACCCCATCATCAAACAAAAGCAGGAAAACGCAAAAAGTCATTAAACAAAAAAACACCAAAAGGACAATAAAACACCCAAAAGACAACAAAACACCCAGGCGCCCTGCAGCGCCCATGGCAACTATGAGAATATGGAGGAAAGAAACCGATGCATATTTAGGCTGTGAATCTACAACATCCTACAACAATGGAGGGTTCTTGATCTACAATCATGGGGACCTAACATGAGAGAGGAAACCAAGCAAAACGGAAGTTGAACTGAACCAAGATATACCCTCTGGTAAACTGTGCCATAACTATGGAACGATTCACCATTTTTCATGGAAAATCCACTATTTCTACGGCAATTTTCAATAGCTATTTTGACATAACCAGAGGGTAGGTTTTTCCATGGCCTTTCTGGCATTTCATCGGTTTTTTGATCTGGGAATTTAATGGAATTTAACAGTGTGCTATAAAGGGGCCATGGTTTCCATAGCCATGTAACAACTTACCACAATATATATATATGTATATATATATATGTATATATATATATGTATATATATGTATATATATATATATGTATGTATGTATGTATGTATGTATATATATGTATGTATGTATGTATGTATATATATGTATGTATGTATGTATGTATATATATATGTATGTATATATATATGTATATATATATATATATGTAAGTGTGTATATGTATATATATATATATATGTATTACATGGGGTCTTCTAGGATATTGAAGTGAAATCTCCCGTGGTCTCCAAGTCCTTCAGGGCCCTTTTATGCCCCCTTTGGCACCTCTTGCAGAGCTCCAAGGGCGGTCCCTGCTCCAAACAAACCAACAAATTACAGGCCGAGCCCATGTGCTTCATTCGCATCTCCTGGCGGTTTTCCATGGTTTTCCTCCATGGAAACAGTGTTCCAGTGGGGATCTAAACCAAGCGAAGGAGATTCTATTGGAATAACTTGGCATTTCACCAGCCAATTGGGATTAAAAGTTGGAAATTTTATGGACCCTTTTGGAGTTGGGAGTGCAAGCAGGGGCCTATCATTGTGAGTGGCCGACCATGATGAAATCACCACCGCAAAAAACGAAACATCGGGCTCCACCTCTGAGTATGGCGACAGATAGCCGCGCAAAGCCTTCCTGGAAATGCACCTCTAGGTATCAATATGTATCAATGTAGCAGCACATTTTCCAAACAAATTAATAGACATAATATATCAACTCCCTCATGTTGGACCTCAAAACAAATAGATGTGTGGATCCAATACTAAATCACGGTTAAGCTGAATGGAGAGATTCTCAGATCGCAAGCATCGCTGAATTCAGAGATGATCTCCCCTTATACAAACCGTTGGCGAGGCCGATCAGTGATGTTTTGTTGGAGATTTGCCAGAAAAGGGCACCGCAAATAAGAGGTGTTTTGTTGGCGTTCACGCAAATAATTTCCACCGCATCTACAATAGAGGTAGATATGGAATTGCTAGCCACTTCCCATTTTAAGCCAGTTTAAGGACGGATAATTCAGGTGGGTCCACCATACAGGTACTGTTTGTGTCGATAGATGTTGATAGTCGTCAACTTTTCAGTCTTTGGGAATGTCTCGAAACCCAGGGCCAGGGAACCCAGTACAGGGCTTTTATCTCATTTTTACACTTTAAAACTATATGGAGGTTCCTAAAATAAGGGTACCCCTAAATCATCCATTTCAATAGGATTTTCCATTATAAACCATCCATTTTGGGGACCCCCATTGCCGTTTTAGGAAACCTCCATATACCTTGATTGCATGCTTCGAACCTTGACATGGCTAAAGCCATGCTAATCCTGCATACCCAAGTCCTTTTCAAGCAGGATCATTGACGGCTCAATTTACCCACTAAGATTTACCCTGCAGCACGTCTCAACTTTTTTGCTGCATGTGGGCCACATTTCCGTACGGACCGATGCGAAATTCCTGAGCAAAGAGTTTGGCATTCTCTGATACTGTACATCCATTTTGTAATGTGTATATATATATATATGTATATGTAATATAGAATGTCTTCTCGTCAAACATATAATTCTACATTCATCTATATTCTGCGCATGGTAGAATCATGAAAAAGTGCCATTGAACGCCATTGATGTATGCAGTGCATGTCGTCGATCCACGCCCTGAGGGTTTCAAGGTCACAACTCCCAGCCTCTTTGGGCAGTGCCGTGGACTTGCCATGCGCTGTCAATCGCACATAGGAATCCCTCTTGGTTTATAGGATCTCCCCGATATGTTGGACAGTATAACACATCATAGCACCATATATATAATCATGAATCAGAAAGGCCTTTGAACACTTCTCAACTGGGCCTTATCTTTCCATTCCAGTTCTAGTTCGCAACAAAGGCATGTTTGCCGGTGGATCTTTGTCAGCACCAGCTTCGACAAGAAACCGCACAACGTTGAGGTGGCCACGCTGAGCCGCCATATACACCGGCGTGACACCAGTGTTTGACGCTCGATCTTTGTCAGCACCAACTTCGACAAGAAACCGCACAACATCGAGGTGGCCACTTTCAGCTGCAACCAACAAGGGCGTTGCACCATCATTAGCCGCTTGATATTTGTCAGCACCAGCTTCGACAAGAAACCGCACAACGTTGAGGTGGCCACGCTGAGCCGCCATATACACCGGCGTGACACCAGTGTTTGACGCTCGATCTTTGTCAGCACCAACTTCGACAAGAAACCGCACAACATCGAGGTGGCCACTTTCAGCTGCAACCAACAAGGGCGTTGCACCATCATTAGCCGCTTGATATTTGTCAGCACCAGCTTCGACAAGAAACCGCACAACGTTGAGGTGGCCATGCTGAGCCGCCATATACACCGGCGTGGCACCAGTTTTTGATGCTTGATCTTTGTCAGCACCAACTTCGACAAGAAACCGCACAACCTCGAGGCGGCCATTCTGAGCCGCCATATACACCGGCGTGACACCAGTGTTTGACGCTCGATCTTTGTCAGCACCAACTTCGACAAGAAACCGCACAACATCGAGGTGGACATGCTGAGCCGCCATAACCAACGGCGTGACACCAGTGTTTGACGCTCGATCTTTGTCAGCACCAACTTCAACAAGAAACCGCACAACGTCAAGGTGGCCTTCCTGAACCGCCATAACCAACGGCGTGACACCAGTGTAGTCCGCTTGATCTTCGGCTGCACCAACTTTCACTAGAAACTTCGCGACGTCGAGATGGCCAGAGTATGCTGCAACATTCAACGGTGTTGCACCAGTGTAGTCCGCATGATCTTTGGCTGCACCAACTTCAACAAGAAATCGCACGACGTCGAGGTGGCCATGTCGAGCTGCAGACCACAAGGGTGTTCTACCCCAATTATCTGCTTGATCTTTGAGTGCACCATTTTCTGCTAGGAACCGTACGACGTCAAGGTGGCCATTCTCAGCGGCAGCGAAGATTGGTGTCTGCCCCCAGGTAAACTCAGGCTCATCTGTCTTTGCTCCTGCCTCCAGCAACACTTCCATAAGTTGAACATGTCCCTGTTCTGCAGCGTGAAACAAGGGCGTCTTGCCATCATTCTGTGCCTCATTGGGATTCTGTGGTCGTTGCAGTAACTGTTCAAGAGCAAGTAAATCGTTGTCTCTAGACGCCGATATGATTTTCTGTGCTTCTTCATCATCAGGTGGCCAGAATTCCAAGACCACCAGCTGGATCTTAAGTGGAGGCAGAGCTAGAACTTCATCATCCTGGATCTCATGCGAACCATCTTCAGCAAAAAAACGTTGTTTGAATCTGGAAATGCCAACTTTGGCTGCCAAGGCTTTCTTAGCTGCCTTGACGGTCTGGCCTTGCAATTCAACGTCGAGGACTGTGAGAGTCTCGCCCGATGTTAGGAAACACACCTCCATTGCATGAAGTAGAATACACGGCGTTCTTTGTCTGCAAATATAACTATGTAATACTATATATAATATATGATATACATTTATGTATGTCACAGTTATAATAGTAATGATTAATGTACTAGGACAAACAATGTCAGATGCATGCAATGTGCACACCAAACCTTTACGGTACAGGTCAACGCAGCACGCTACACACTACACCACTCCATTGTGCTTCTTGAACACTTCGAGTCCGGTCGGTCTTCCACAAGCAACGCAAGTGGGTTGGGTATGGCTAGGTGATATATGCCCATTTTTCGAATTTGGATCTGGCCAAACATGCAGCATCTTGAATAACAAACTCTGAAGCAAGGATGATAATGGTCATTGATTAATCTTGACCAACTAATCCCATTATCATTGATTTCATCCCAATTGATCTTGACCCAAAAATTGACCATTGAAGAATGGTCACTGCGGTCACCACGAAGAGGAAAAAAACAGGTGGCCGTTTTTCTACTCAGCATTTCTGTGGACAAAAATCCCATGAAGGTCCATCCCGTTTTTATATCCGATTTTTTTTCTTGCTCAATCTCCTCATTCAATCATATAGAATATTATCTGATTGGTGGTTGAGCCACCCCTCTGAAAAATATGAAAGTCAGTTGGGATGATTATCCCATATATTATGGAAGATAAAAAATGTTTGAAACCACCAACCAGTTATACACTATTATAGAATGATATAAAGATATAATATGAAACCCCGTTATATCATATAGAATCATATGAAAAAGATCATATGAAATCCTGAAATCCCCATTGGAATCCCCATTGGAATCGTTGCTGCCCACCCCTCACGGCAGGTCATGGCGCAGCAATCTCCTCAATTTTCAAGGGCGGCTCTGCGAGCATGGAGCACTTCTCTGGCAGATCCACCACATCCAGGTTGGCACAACCTGGCCCCAATTGTTACTGGTTGATGATTAATATACTGTTAATATACTGTTAATATATGGTTAATATATGGTTATTATATGGTTACTGATCTTGAATAATATGGTTTATCAATGATTACTGGTTGGTGGTTGGTACGCCTACCCCTCTGAAAAAATGATGGAATTCGTCAGTTGTGATGATGAAATTCCTAACCAGATGGAAAAATAGAATTCATGTTCCACACCACCAACCAGGTTAGGTCATGGTCCTTTTTGGGGTGGAGCTGGGCGGCTGAGATTTGGATGATGAGCGAAAAAATCGACCTTGGTTTCACTGCTTGATCTGGATAGATCCCCCTGGTCATTCCATGAAGTCCCCATTTGGGCGAAGAACATGCCGCAAAAATATGGGAGCTGTTTTGCTTTGCCCAAGCCCACTGCCTTCAGGGTTCATCTCGCCCGGAATCTGAACACAGTGCTGGGAATATCAAATCTCGCTCCCGAAGCCAGATTGGAATCTAAACAGGTCTTCTTTCGAATCATTCAATCAGTTGGTGGTTAAGCCACCTATCCCAAAAGTATGAACATCAATCTGGATTAGACCACCACCTTCAATTGGAGATTCCAATAGAACCATGTTTTTTTCCTGATGATATTGAGATGGTTTTCATATATGGTTAATATTGCTTCAAAATGGTTACTAATCATAATCCTATAGTACTATATTATAAAAACCATATGTTGTAAACCTATATTATGATATGATATTATATAAACCAACCCATATATTATGATATTATATAAACCTATATGTTGGTTACTATATTATATTACTATATTACTAATCATAATCCTATATTATGGTTACTATAGTTACTATATTATAGTACTATATCATAATGGCTTTCCAACCAACTAATCCTTCAACTCAGCATCAACCACCAGGGCTTTAACGAAACCCAAAACGCCTGCCGCAGAGAGTCGAAGGCGCAGGGACTCCAATTTCAGGCGTTGTCCCAAGGCCTGATAGACATATCGACGCCCACGGCAATCCCTCGGAAAAAAGGGAGATGAGATGAGGAGAAAAACTATGGTTATATAATGGTTATCATAATGGTAAAAAAATGATTATAATATCCCCATATTCCATGGAATATACCCATTAATAGTTGATGAATAGTTGATTAATAGTTGATTAATAGTTGATTAATAGTTGATTAATAGTTGATTCATAGTTGATTAATAGTTGATTAATAATGGATAAACATAATGGGGATGATTAATATAATATACCCATTACCCGGCCTGGTAAACTGTCCCAAAAAACGAACTGGAAAGATCCACCATGCATTTTTCATGGGAAAACTCAGGAGTTCTTTCTATTGCCATGACTTCAATAGCCAACTGTTGACATCACCAGTTAGGGTAATGTTCAAGAGGGAAAATGATCAACGAAGGGAAATCCAAGGGAATCCCTCAGAAAAATCCAAGGAATTTAGGGCTATACTATGGCCTATGGCCTATTTCCAGACGAAGCCATCTGCTTTTTTGGGGTAAAAGATGTTATAAAAGTCAATGAATGAGGACGAAATCAACAACATGGCCTGAGCCTATGGCCTATTTCCAGACGAAGCCATCTGCTTTTTTGGGGTAAAAGATGTTATAAAAGTCAATGAATGAGGACGAAATCAACAACATGGCCTGAGCTTGTGGACATCCTTTTGCCATGTTTTTTCCAAATCAACCTTTGGTGATGCTTCATTGGTGATGTTTCTCATATTTGGGGTGAGGTCTTTGCAACAATTTGGAGGAACTGGAACTGTCGAACTATGCCAGTGATTTAAGAGAATGTCGTCTTATGATTCTCTATCATGTGAGACATCTTGTTACTGCTTCAGAAATAATCCGTGTATATATGTGTGTCTGTATATATATAGTATGATATACCCAGCATTCAACCGCAACTAGTTCTACCGTTAGCTGTTAAAGCCAAAATCTCTCAACAAATTCTCCATCTCCTCATTGGTTGCAGGGCAGAATTACACATTTGTTGTAGATAAATCCCATGTTCGTTGTTTTTTATTTCACTGATCCATCCTGGGGTCCTCGTGATCTTCATTTTCCATCGGGGTCCTATCCCCATCTGTGAATGTAGCTGCATCCATCTGTGGCTACATCATATCCAACATCTGGTTAGTGGTTTCAACCCCTCAGAAAAAAATATACAGTAGTCAGTTGGGATGATGGCATTCCCAATATATGCAAAAATAAAAGATGTTCCAAACCACCAACCAGAACATAGATAGAAAACTTGGAAACCATGGACATGTAAAAATATCACAGGGTTCAACCACCAAAAATCCCCCGCGAAGTGATTCTCCCCAACTCAAAATGCAAAAGATGAGCCCCCTTGGGAAAATCCTCAATTTATAGGGGACGCAATTTACGTCGCCATGTTTGATGACACCGGAGTGTATTAACCAAGATTCCATTCATATCCCATTCCAGCAATGTATGTAATGTTCCATTAATATCCCATTGTCTCCCTATCGTACCATCATTTTGTTGGTCAAATGCTGGATTGCCGGAGGGTACCAATCCCTTCTTGGTAAATCTGCAATTTTCTCACCATGATACAAACATATCCCCATGTGTGTAATTTAACATAGCCATTGACAATGTCTGTTTTATATTTGATTGAACTACTAACGTGATGTTCAATGGCTTGGTTACCCTCTGGTAAACGTTTACATAACTATGGAAAATCACCATGGTTAATGGGAAATTCCACTATTTTTATGGTCATTTTCAATAGCTATTTTGACATAACCAGAGGGTAAATTTCCAAAGGGTAAATCCACCAATCGTTTGGAGAATCACAGCCTGCTGTGTGGCGTTCTGCACACCCCGCAGCCAACTTTCGGCTTCTGGCGCCTGTGGGCTGATGCAGGGTGATCAATCACATTCTTCAAAGATAGCTACAGGATGGGACCCCCAGTTATAAGTGGGTTTATAAGCCATTATAACCACCATTAACTATAGTTATATCTACCATAAACCATAGTTAAGTTAAACCACTTATCAGGCAACTTAGCTATCTTGGGGGCCCCATCCTGTATAGGTTGGTCAACGGATGGATTCAAGAGGCAACATCGGAAACTCAGGAAACACCTCTAGGAGTTTCCTAAAAAATGTTCCCATCATCCAATTCTGGGAATTGGGATATGACCTTCCCCTTTATGAATACCCAAGTTGGCTCCATGTGGTTCCATTTGGGGGCCGAACAAAAAGCACCATAACAAGGGGTTTCCTACTGGCCAAATGGCATATCATGATGATAAGCCAGTGGATTCAGGGAAACAAATAGAAGTAGAATACTGGAATAACTGGAATATCATGGGACAGTCATGAATGTCTCATCATTTCTCCGTCCCGACACAAAGGGCTTTCTGTGAAACTCATAGTTTCCAAGGAATATAATCTACAAATTGTGGATTCCATATCTATGTTAGTTTACAGGAGGGTACATACCAAAATTGCAATCCTACTTCGCAAAGCCGCAGCTCCTTTGGTTAAGTCCTTTGCCATGGCTAGTGGCTAGCCTGCGATTCCATCCATGCTCCTTATCAGGCATCTTAAACCATCAACCTCCAAGACCCCGCAGTTGTAAGTTGGTCTACAATCCCAACAACTAGTGACTATATAGCTAGTGCGATATATCCGACTAAGACTAAGTCCAATCATTAGCCGGATGAACCAAGCCAACTCACTTATCATCAAGTTAAATCCCCGTTTTGGTGGGTGAAATCACAGTGAAGTCCCCCGGAATTGCTGGCGAAATTAAAAAGGGGCCAAGCGACCTGCGGATGGCCGAGGTCCGCGTTGCTGCACCTGCAGGAGATCAACATTTCATCACCAGCCATTCTGTAAGATTCAAAAACACCAACCATTTTAACAACCTGCAGGAGATACAATGGTCTATGTATGTCTATGTATATTAGGGGAATCTTTCAAAAAACTGTAGTATTGGATGCCGATAAAACCTTGACTGCGTTTGAGGACACTGGAGGGTAAATCATCAATGTTATATCGTTATATCAGGTTAGCTAGTCATACCGGTATATATCGTATGATACCTATGCAAACTCGTTTGTCAACGGGGGACACATGGCTACACCAACATCCAGTCATTACCGGACTCCCGGTCACCTGAGTTCCAAAGCAATGGGCTGTCGCATGCCCGGCTGGACCAGAACCTGGTTTAACAAGGCTGAAAGTGCTGGAATTACGCCAGCATTTTTGCATGTTTCACAGGGATACTTGTAGTTGGTTTATAAGTAGGCTAACTGTTGAATTTGATATGAGTACTATCTGTGGATATCATAACAGATAGCAACAGATAGTACTATCTGTTATAATATCAACACCTAGTACTATAGATGCATCAGGAATCCTCCATGATAAAACTGTCAATCCCTTCTCCCTATTACAAAAACCCCACCTAAATAATAAAAACTACCCCTTTTAATTGATCCCCTTTAGAAAACAATTAAAAAATCAAGGTCCATTTGAAGGTTCTACCCCCTTAATAATAAAAACTAGTTAACCCGTGTTTTTTTTTTAAATGAGGGTCCGTTTGTTAAAAAGGGAAAATTTCAGTTGTTTTTATTAAGGTTTTGATTTTAATATTAGGGGAAAGCTTCGAAATCCAATTTTAATTGATTTTGAAATCATTTTTTTAAGTTGTTTTTACTGGTTTTAATTTTATTATTAGGGGAAAGCTTCTCCCCCGAATATCAAATACCCCCTAATAATAAAAACTACCCCTAAGTTTTATTACTTGGGGGGTACGTTCAATATTAGGGTGAAGGGATTATTTGTTGAACTTTATGGTACCCATTTACTTGGTATCTGTTACCATAATGATGCCATAGTGTTAATATTCTCCCTGATGAAGTGTCCTCTTTTGCGGTGTTGACTCTATAGTTTTCTTCCATCGGGGATTGTCTGAAAATCGGATACCCCATGGTATCATGGTTCAGTCATAGTATCATTTACCCTCTGGTAATCTAACATAGCTATGGAAAATCACATTTTTTAATGGATAAATCCACTATAAATGTTCATTTTCAATAGCACACTGTTAGTTTACCAGAGGGTAATTGTCCCCATTAAAATTGCCATAAGTTGGGACTAAATACAGTACCACACGTCTCCCATATTCTTGGCGGTATGTCCTGATTATATCCCAGAAATTTACCAATAAATACCGTCATGCTATCCCCAATAAATCCCCAAGGAATCCAATTTATGACCAATGTTGGTCTGTTTTACAACTTGAAACGGCTCGGAACTGGTTAGCATCCATAGTTCTAGCCCATTTATACATACAAAAAAAAAAAACACGAATCGGTGACTTCCTGACAAATGTTATGAAGCCTCCAAGTTTCAAGTTGGTTCAGTTTAACACCCCAATATAGATATCATGATAGATCATACCCTTATTTCTATCCCAGCGAAGTTATGATCCAACAGAAACCTCCCCATTTTTGCTATCTTTGGGGGATCATCCCACTAAGTCAGCCCTGGTTAGTCCTGGTTAGTCCTCAGTATCTCGAAGTGACTTACGCCGGTTAGTCCTAAGCCCAGGAATAAACAACTCACCCCAGTGATGTTCCCACTGGGACTAGTTAACTGGGCTCAGTTCACCCCAACTGGCCCTACTACTTAGTTGCTGGTAGTTATTTTCAGAACTCATGTGGGTTACCACCAGGTAAAACAATGCCATGTTTACCATTCCGATGTCATCACCATTTTTATAGGTGGTATGTGAAACCGCCTATGTGTACCATTCCCAGTCATGCGTGGATCCATTTATCTCATTTATTGGGTGGATTAACTCTACTTGCCTCACTCAAAAAACTGGGCTTCTAATCCACTTACTGGCATTGTTTTACCCACATTAATCCCTATTAATCCCAGTAAGTAACCATTAAATCCTATTAAATCCCTATAAATCCCATTAAATCCTATTAAATCCCTATAAATCCCAGTTACTAACCAGTTACAATGCTGTCCACCAAGCCACGGCTGAGGCAGCTTGTGCCACCGCGGTCTCTCCCAGCAGCCCGGACATGAGCTCCCGACCTCGGAACCGCACGGCGTTCCACGCTGGGCGACTGCCATGGGAAAAGGAGCTTTAAAAACCATGGGATGGAATGGGGTACCATAGTTTCAGAATGTTTCAGACAAACACAGCTATTTGGCTATTTGATGTCATTTAATGTTATTCACATTACATACATTTACATACAATAACTATGGATTTATGTGATTCTATAAAAAAAAGCACTTGGACCATACCCTAAGTGGAACATACATATCTTGAACTCTGAGTCTTGGGTGATGTTCCACCTACACCTCCAAAATCTAATCTGAAGCCCCACATTTAAAAAGGCCAGGTTCACAAGATCCCATCTTCCGAAGCCATCTTTTTGGGTCCGATTTCAGGCTTCGGAACCAAAAAGATACCCCAAAATAGCAACTTTTTGAGCAGGATATTCAATAGAACATCTCAACTAAATTGCATCATCACCCAAACTATCCCAAAATGAGCATTCATCAAGTGGTACTCAGCCATTTCCCCTGAAAGGTGAAGCCTTTCATGACCCCTCTTGACACCGTGAATCCCGTCCTTCCTGGTGCCCCGACGTGCAGCGATGCCACCCAGCAGGACGCACTCGGGGAAGCGACCCAACAAATCCCGCACCTTGGTGATGGCCATGTCTATGGGGGTTTCCATGTGGGTACCCCAAATTGAATGGTTGATTTCATGGAAAGTCCGAAAGAATGACTAGGGGTACCCCTATTTTAGGAACCCTCCATATTTATGGAGGCTATGCAATAAATCATCCCCAAATATCTCAAATACATGGGGGTAGACACAAATTTCCTTTTTACTCCGGGAAATAATCATAGCATTGCTAAGTGAGGGATTGAATTAAGGGAAAATCTTGACCGGAAAGTAGTGGATTTACTCCCAAATGTAGGTAGTTTGGGTGTTCCTCTAGATTTTCCCCTACACCAATTCCAATTGCAAGAAGATGAGATTCCAATACTATTACTATGGAATTCTTCATGCATATAATCATAATATGGGAACCAGTAATTACGGTGACGTAATTACTAAGTATTGCACGTTTGGACGATATGATATTATTGATATTATTATATTGGTGATTATTGGTGACTCCCAAATATGAAGAATGTATCATTTGGAATCTCACATGCGTTTTCATACCCATATCAAAAGAAAGTAGATTCAGGCAACCAAAAGGGTAACATAATAATGACACACACACACACATATATATATATATATAACGTCAATAAACAATTGAAGCATGAAAAACCCTATCCCATCCGATTCTACAGGTTGGTAAATTGGTTCTCCATCATGGATAAGTTCATAAGACCGAAAAAAAAAAAAACTGCCTGATGTAACTCCCGAAATCAACCCACGCATGACTGAAGAGGGATCATCCAAGTAAGTAATCCCCCCAGATATGATTCATACCACCAATCAGGGACCCCAAAATGAATGGATCCTTTGCTAGGATTCTAGCGGGCTATTTAACATTGGGAAGGATTCTGAAAAAACTGGGGCAAGTTGAGGATCTCAGTCATAAGTCTCTGATTCTGCTGCTTCTCCAACAGTGTTGGTGCCTTTCCAAAGGTTCCATGTTGCCCCACCGCCCAAGCTGCATTGAAGTTGACAACAAGGTGCCGGTCAACCAGTCTGAAAGCAGATATGCCCGGAATTGACAAGAATAATGTGGTACCCTCTGGTAAACTAACATAACTATGGAAAATCACCATTTTCAATAGCTATGTTAGTTTACCAGAGGGTAAACCCCATAGCAAACCATCCTCAATAGAGTCTTATTATATCTTATCATTGGGTCCCAACCCTATTTGGGATGATCTAACCCCAAATGGCTTGATGATGAGATGGTTTCTTATTGGACTTACGGCATTATAACAAAAAACTAAGAAGCATCGATCAAAAACTTTGGCAACATGTTTGAGTCGCATCCATAAGCAACATGAACTATAGCCATATGGCTTTGTCTGAAAATTTATGAAAAAACATGTTTCACATTGTTTCACCATTAAAAAAAAGGGTTTACCAATTTACCCTCTGGTAAATTAACATAGACCCTGGCAGATAGGGGTTGGAAGATTAGTTTCCATTAAAACTAGGCTATTTTCAGGGTCTATGTCAATTTACCAAAGGGTAACTATGTCTAAATCCATTGGTTCACCATTTTCAGACCCAAACTTATCGACCCAACCCAGACCCAACTCTCATCGATTTCATCGATTCACGACCCCTAAAAAACCTCGAAAAGACTCGAAACCTGACTGGCTGACTGACTTTGCCATGAACTACAACAAATCATATTATATAATATTATATACTACTGCTAGTTGGCATATATATAATATATAATATATAATATATAGTATGGCATATGATATGTTACTGTTAGTTGGCATAGTTGGCATATATATAATTTATTTAACAACTCATAGCTGGTTTCTCATTTTTAATGACCGTCGAGATTCATCTGGCCGTTGGAGACCACGCCAGTGATCCCGTTGTACGAGTACCCACGCGGTGCCGCTAAGGCGCTCCTTCCACGTCACAGATCTTTTCCAACTGGTTGCGCACCTCACCTGAGACATGACAGCCCAAAGGTAGGCACCAGGGGGGTACCATAGATGTTTTTTAAGTTTTTACACAAATATACTACACAATGTATACAGTACTATACAGATGATGATTCCCTATTGAGAGTGAGGGCTTTCTATCGCGAACTTTCGAAAGAGAAAGGCGAATCTGACATCCCGCTCACTCTGAAGCACCCGTTTTCTCAAGAGCAAGTGGAATTCACTCAGCCTATTCTCAACCCCATGACTCCGCTTGCAGTAGGTGCAGCTTGCAAACAATCAGTTTCAATTAGTTGGTATAGATAACAATCCTCCGACAAGAAAATGTCATACCACAACCAAACCGACCATTTACAAGTCCATTTACATGACATTTGATAAACTTTGTGCTTTCACCCAGGCTTAGGTTTACTGGCCTTCATAGGGGAATAATGGATACCATGAAACAAAATAAGGCTGCTTAGGGAGATAGAACGCATTCCCTCATTTACCTGTTGAAAGCTGCTTGATTCTATCAACTGGTTTTTCAGCATGCCAGCTATCATCAACCTTTTAAAGCCAAAAATCAACCCATCTGGCTGAATTATTTATAATTCACCAACCTGAAAAGTCAGGTCGGGTAAAGGGATGAATCAGTTTGCTGACCATCATTTGCAAATCGTGACGCAGCAGCAAGGTCCTTGCCAAAAAAAACGAACCTGATTTCGATGGAAACGTATTCCAAGAATACTGCTTATTAGGGGGTTGTTCAAAATTATGGTTCCCATTGGTTCCCCAAAACTGCCCTTTACGCCGCGCTTTCACGACCCTTTCGCGCCCTTTCGCGCCCCAGCAGAATCGGGACAGGGAATTATGATCATGTTTTCGTGTGCATATTTTGTATAAATAGTGGTATTCAGACCTTTCGCGAACCTTTCGCCGCGCTTTCGCAGCCTTTTGCCACTGCAGCAAAAACACACGTCCATATCTGCAGATGTCACTCATATACTAAAAGTCTTGCATGGGTTTTAGAACGACTCTCTCTTGCATGGGTTTTAGGACGACTCCCTCTTGCATGGGTTTTAGGACGACTCCCTATTAGCATTGTGAAGTAAATGACAATCTAAATCCCAAATCATATTGATAATTTTGCATATTTCCCCAATCTTTCAGTATGATAATCCAAATCATAAAAACTGCCAGTATTTTCCCGGCTTCTACTTGGGGCCCCCTGAGTTGCCATGCTCAATGCCCAAGCGATGCCATCCATGGTGCGTCGGCGGCGCTTTGCCTACATGCATTACATGCTTTGCCGATCAGGAAGAAAACAGGGCACCTACACATCCGTTGGTTAACCATCATTCTTATCCCTATAAAAACTGCTACAACTGGGAGGAAATTCCCATTTTCAGACACAACCATATATTATTGGATTATTTGAACACTCCTTCCTATGAAAAGCATGTGGGAAGACTCTTTTACTCTCAAAGTTCCGGCCATGTTTTGGTTTCTTTGGGTTCCATCTGAGATTTAAGGGGTTCTGATCCTTTCAAAACATGTGGCTCATAGGGATACTAGCAATCAAATGTGGACAAAACCAGAAACCAATAAGGGATGCGACTATATACAATTCATGCGCAACATGGATATTCATGTACATACCCACAACACTGATCGGCATGTCCTATGCCGTTGATGGACAATCAACCAGCAACCAATGAAAATGCTGCCTCCAACAGCGACGGTGACATGTGAAGATGCAATCCACACGTTTTGCGCCTTCAAAAGTCACATCCTTCTTGCTTAAACTCCAAGTTTTTTTCTGGTGAAATCCAATGTTCGGTTCAACATGCTTAAAACTCCGTGACTTCGTGGTGAATTCAGTGGATTCCCCATGGTTCGTGCCGAAAAAAATGCCCAGTGAGTTGTCCGCACCTTCGGCTCGGGTGCCAGGGCCATGGCCCGGGCGGGAGAGGGTGCCAACATGGCCGACGCCAGCGGTGGGCCTCGTTTGGAGCTTTCATGGGATAAAAACCGCTGGGTTTCATGGGTGGTCCCCTCTTAGAGGGGTTGAAGCCAACACCAAAGAAAACTAGATCAACAGAGATGTGCCACACACCACACATCAAGTTGAGACAGTTTTATTCTTGAAGAAAACTTACGAGGTGTCAAAGTGTAATTGTCCTTCGTTACTATAGCTTTCAGGCACAGTAAAGTCAAGGGCCTTGAGATGATCCTCCATGATGGGGTACCTCTGCTGAAAACTCGAAGGTGTGTGGCTTCGAACCAGAGAAGGTAGCCCACACAAATCCATGCCAACACTTTGGGGTTAAGTACACTTTCAATGTCCAATACTTTTTAGGTCGACAACCTACAGCACCAATCTGGCCTTACTTGACCGTAGGGTGTCCGGGATCTGTTGGTCCAGTTGTTCCAAAACAGATCTTTCACCATGGTCGCATCAAATCTCTGGCCGTTTGTCATAGTACCCTCTGGTAAACTGTCCCATAACTATGGAAAATCACCATTTATAGTGAGTTTTCCCATGAAAAATGGTGGATCTTTCCATAGTTATGGGACAGTTTACCAGAGGGTAGATGATTAGAAAGCTATTCTTCCCATCTTCAGGGCGTACGATGACCTCCAGGCCATAAGTCTCCATTTGTGAAATGACCACGTGACTTACTACAAAACTCTTTACATACCTGTTTTCATGTGCTCAATCATGTCCTCAAATGCAAAAAGTGGATGGGCCGCCTTGGTGTACAATTCGCCCACCCCCTGTACCTCTTGGTCATGGAAAAGTAGGATTTACCCCTCTTTCTGAACAAACCAACTGTTGCGAAAAGGTTCGAAAAGGGAAATCTGAGACATGAAAAAATACACTACCCCTCATTATATATATATATATGTATGTGCACTCCGTTACTTAGGGACAATAAAGATCCGCAATAAAACAGGTAGGTTAATTATCCCCATAAACAATCGACCGTCAATTGTCAACTATATAACATATAACTATATCCGCATAAATTTGAAGCTTCAACCCCATTAAAACACCATATTTCATGGATTACACCCTATCAATAACTTTAATCTTGTCAATGACATCCCCATTTTAATCCATATAAAATCCAATGAATGTTGGTTAAATCTGCATGAAAAACGAGGAATCCCACACCATGGATTTCCTCAACTCAACTCTCGCCAAGCTGCTCTCATTGGCCGGCGGATTCCTCTTTTCCGCACGACGGCCCGGCTGGGCGGGTTCCTTCTTCACCTACAGCAGAGGTGCCCCGTTCGGAACGGCCCGGTTTCGACCTCCAATGTTTCACTCGAGTTGATGTTGGTTGTATCGAACTCGTATTCTTGCGGATGATCAACTAACCAGATCCCTGAGGGAGCACCACCCTGCATCATAGTTTCTTCCCCGGAACAAGATTGAGTCATTGGGGATCATCATCCCAAATATGGTTGAACATTCACATATGTGAAACCACTAACCAGCTAAAATAGTGGATGTTTTTCTCTTTTCCATTTGTTTGGAGGAGCGCTACGGCGCCATAGGTCTTAATTTGTTTAAATCATATGCAGTAATTACATGTAATTTCTCCGAGTCTCGAAGGGGTATCGAGGCCTTGCCGGCTAGTAACTTGAAATCTGTCTTGTCCTAGTTTATTAGTAAGTGTCTTAAGTCAGAGTTATCATAACTGTTAAAAACTTTTATCCTTTTGTGATATTCTGGAGTGATCCTCCCTAGAAACCAGCCAAAAAATGGATACCCTCCGGTGTCCTCAAACGTGGCAAAAAAGGAAATCCCTGATAAATCAAGAATGGGAAAAAACATCTATAAATGGTGGATTTTCCATTTCTATGTTTGATTACCGGAGGGTATATGTACATGAAAAATGTTGTTCACGATTCAAATTTCTATGATAGGATAGCAAAAGCACTCCGACTGCTGACCTCTATGAATACCACTAAAGTGAACAAAATCCAAAAGTATCCCAAAGTATAATCAGTATGTGATGATCATGTATAAAATTTTACATGAACTTGTAGTGCTCAGCAAACCATTTTGATCCTCATGTTACATCCATCGGCCCTAAAAAGATGACCCGAAGATGGGGGGATTCCACTGGTGCTTCAACTGGAGTATATCCCCATTGCTTCGGGGGTAAGAATCGCCCAAAAAAATATATGTGTTTAGCAAAACTCTTCATTTCTTCTGCGAAATCCCAGTTGACGTTCTATTCCCCAAATTTGTTGGGCGCTCCACAGATCGGTGGTCAGACAGGCAGACCTTCTAACAACTTTCCAATCTCCAACCCTTGGCACCTTCTTTTGTGGCTGTGCAGCCTCTCCTGCCAAAGGGTCACACATGAAATGTTCCTAAATATATATATATAATATCTCGATTTCAGATGAATATGGAAACTCTTGTTGATTGATTGGCAAAATCCAGGCAAAATTTAAAATGATGGGGTCTGAACTTTCCCAGCTACTTTCTGTTCAGAGATCATTGGGGAGGACATCATCACTTTACTGTCTTAGTTTACTGTCCAAAGATGTCCAAATCATCTGTGGAGTTCCGATAATTGCTTTCTGCTTTGGAACCAAATCTTTGGCGGAATGATGTCCAGTCAATGGATATACATATTTACATGTCTATATATTTCTATACATATATTATCTACATTTATCTACAATATGTATATATGTATTTATATAATTTTACATGTATAAATAATCAATCTATTTCCATTATTTGTACCATTCTTGTTGGTTAAATTCCGATTGTTGTTGGGTTCTACATCCCACATCCACAGTTTTCCCATCTCCTCCGCTGCCAGACACTGTGGACACCGGCGCGCGGCCAGATCCCTGACAGAATGAAACCCGTGGGACTTACCTGAGGGTAAACTACCATAGGTGTAGAAAACCAATTGTTTCCCAATAGGGGAATCCAGATTCACAAGGTGGTGCCCGGCACAGCAACATGCCCCCCAAAAAAGTGTGGATGCCATTGGAAGCCAACATGCGGGATTGATGTGGGTTTATATGGCTTTGTGTGGGTTTAGAATTTAGACTATAGACTATAATCCAGTCATGTTAGTCAAGTTGATTTATCAGTCAGAGAACTCGGGTTTATGGTAGATATAACTAGGGTTCATTGGGGTTATAGTCCAACAAACATTTCACTGTTGGGCACATGGTCATTTTTTCCTGCGCTTTCTCCATTTTTTTGAATATCATCATTGAATATCACTGTGTTTGTCCCACATTTACAGGGCTCTGTCTTGAAACGAACTTTATTTCGCATCATTTGGCTATTTGTCAGCCAGCAAAGCGTTTAGTTTCAGCAGAAACAAAGCCGGAGTCGGAGTCAGGGCAAGCAGCGTTTGACGCTACACCCATTGTTTCAGTGCACTGTAGCAGCAAGAACGTAGTAGGAAGTTATGTGAGAAGTCAAGAGCGTAACAGCAAGAACGTAGCAGGAAGTTATGTGAGAAAGTGAAGAGCGTAACATAACAGCAAGATACGGCAGAATGTAGAAGGTAATGTGAGAAAGTTAAGAGCGTAACAGCAAGAACACAGTAGGAAGTTATGTGAGAAAGTTAAGAGCGTAACAGCAAGAACACAGTAGGAAGTTATGTGAGAAGTCAAGAGCGTAACAGCAAGAACGTAGTAGGAAGTTATGTGAGAAAGTTAAGAGCGTAACATAACAGCAAGATACGGCAGAACGCAGTAGGTAATGTGAGAAAGTTAAGAGCGTAACAGCAAGAACACAGTAGGAAGTTATGTGAGAAAGTTAAGAGCGTAACAGCAAGAACGCAGTAGGAAGTTGTGTGAGAAGGTTAAGAGCGTAACAGCAAGAACGCAGTAGGAAGTTATGTGAGAAAGTCAAGAGCGTAACAGCAAGAACGCAGTAGGAAGTTATGTGAGAAAGTTAAGAGCGGAACAGCAAGAACGCAGTAGGAAGTTATGTGAGAAAGTTAAGAGCGTAACAGCAAGAACGTAGTAGGAAGTTATGTGAGAAAGTTAAGAGCGTAACAGCAAGAACGTAGTAGGAAGTTATGTGAGAAAGTTAAGAGCGTAACAGCAAGAACGTAGTAGGAAGTTATGTGAGAAAGTTAAGAGCGTAACAGCAAGAACGTAGTAGGAAGTTATGTGAGAAAGTTAAGAGCGTAACAGCAAGAACGTAGTAGGAAGTTATGTGAGAAAGTTAAGAGCGTAACAGCAAGAACGTAGTAGGAAGTTATGTGAGAAAGTTAAGAGCGTAACAGCAAGAACGTAGTAGGAAGTTATGTGAGAAAGTTAAGAGCGTAACAGCAAGAACGTAGTAGGAAGTTATGTGAGAAAGTTAAGAGCGTAACAGCAAGAACGTAGTAGGAAGTTATGTGAGAAAGTTAAGAGCGTAACAGCAAGAACGTAGTAGGAAGTTATGTGAGAAAGTTAAGAGCGTAACAGCAAGAACGTAGTAGGAAGTTATGTGAGAAAGTTAAGAGCGTAACAGCAAGAACGTAGTAAGAAGTTATGTGAGAAAGTTAAGAGCGTGACAGCAAGAACACAGTAGGAAGTTATGTGAGAAATTCAGGAGCATAGAAGCAAGAGCGTTGATGTCTGATGAATGTTATCACCCACCCAAACCCCAACCCAGTCCAAAAGTGCGAAAATTACATGGCCGTCTGTGGTACAGGTGCCAACTACCGTACTTTACATGTTATGTGATATCATTTCCGGGGGGGAAACTATGGATGCTTCATATCTACTTGGTGGTATACCTACCCCTCTGAAAAATGATGGAGTTCGTCAGTTGGGATGATGAAATTCCCAATATATGGGAAAAAATGTTCCAAACCACCAACCAGATATTTCATTAACCACTATTAACCACTATTAACCACTATTAACCACTATTAACCACTATTAACCACTATTAACCACTATTAACCACTATTAACCACTATTAACCACTATTAACCACTATTAACCACTATTAACCACTATTAACCACTAATAACCACTATTAACCACTATTAACCACTATTAACCACTATTAACCACTATTAACCACTATATTGGGAAACCACTATTATTGTTCCAAACCACCAGCCAGATATTTGTTTTTGTGTTTACCTCAGGTCACCAAACCCAGGCCACCAAACGTGCACGCCTCTTCGGGTCGCTCCTGCAGAACTTCGGTGGAGGGAAACCCGAAAAAACACGAAACTTGGGTGACACATGACCATCTACAAGTAGTCCCCTAGGGGGTGGGATACTGTAACAACTTGTTTGATCATCAAATCTTCAACCAAAAAATGATGTTCGAAAACCCACCAACAAAGGACATATATGAACAAATGAGAACAAATGGATAACCAGTTAGGCCTATTAGGGCATGTTTCATGTTTGAGCATGCAAGTTGGATTGTTCAGTCATTTTAGCCATTGCCAGTTTGGGATCGACTTTGCGCGAATCGATTTTCTAGAAATTAACCTTTCCAGGCCCCAACATTGTTCTGAGAAAACCCTCCCACTGGGGTGCCATCCACGCAAAAATTGAACATATCTTAAGAACGTTAGGATCATCATGCCAAGTGCTTGTGTAAATAAGATGTCTTGAGACTATCAGTGACTTCAACCACTGTACAAATCTGCACTTTCGGCGCAGTCTTGGGTTGTGGTGTAAATCCTCCCATTTTCAGGGGAGCAAAGGACCAAACTGCCGCTTTTGCCCTGATGTGATGTTCCAAGAGTGCCAAACTGCCACACCCAGAAATCCTGATCCAGTGCCACACCTGTGATAAATACATATTACAGTATATATATAATATGTATAATATATATAATATATAATATGTATAATATATGTATATATATAATGTGTATAATATGTATAATATATATAATATATAATATGTATTATATATATGTGTGAAATAAATATAATATGTATAATATATATATATATGATATGTATATATATTATATATATAATATGAATAATATATAAATATAAGATGTATAATATATATATATATATGATATGTATATAATAAATATAATATGTATATAATATATATATAATATGTATATAATATATATATATAATATGTATATAATAGATATATATATATATAATATGTATATAATAGATATATATATATTATATTATATATATATTATATAATATATACATATTATATATAATATATACATATTATATATAATATATGCATATTATAATTACACATAATATATATATATATACATATGTACATATTATATACATATTATAAATACACATTATAAATATATATATATATGAGGAAACATTATAATCATTATAATATATTTTAATCCTGCATCAATCCCGCATCAATCCCCAATCCCGCAATGCATAAGTGATCCACTCACCATCCTGACACAGTACGCCGCAAACCCTCGGCCTGCGCAGCAACTGCCACCCCAGTGCCACGTTTCTTCATGGCCATCGGACGCTCGATAGACCCCAGCTAGATGGCACAGAAAATTACCATGGTTCGTGTAGGGAGCCATCCCAAAAATTGCCTTATGTTAATCTTTACTATGGTTTAAATTCTATGCTTTTTCTAGTTGATTAATGTCAATTATCATGAGTTAAGCAGCTGTCTCGTTCCTGGGCATCACCGTTTTTGGATTTAATTTACATAATAAAACCCCCTTGAACCATTGACAGTTTCAATATCTCTTCACTGGTCTGGCCCCAGATCGAAAATACCTCTCCTTGAGCCGAGATTTGCCTCATGTAGCGACCTTTTTTTTCCGGGGCACCTCTCAGCAGTTAGTCATGTTCCAATGATCTTGGATTTGAATCCAGCAAAAATGGGAGATGTAACCAGCAAAAGTTTCAACATGTCTCAGTAAAGCTTTGACTTGTCAACATTCCGGATCTAGAGCTAACGCAATGGGTGTTGCAACCAATTGGAATTGAAGACATGCTTTTGGAATCTATTGGATCAGTATGACTTAAGTTGTCCTGGACCGAGGCACAGAAAACGGCACGGTGGTTTCAGCCTGCTGAGGTCACAAGACATGGCACGGGTGGGTTCACAACACAACACCCTCAAGTTACACTCGTTACACTCGTTACACTCCACAAACATCAAGGGTTTGGAATATATTGGAGTCTCCCGCGTCCCCCAAAGTTCAGCTCAATTTTTTGCATTCACCAGTTCAAACGTATGCTTCGTTCTGCTTCACAAAATCAAAATAGAGCCATAGAGCGGTGTTGGCACGATTGGCTCACAGACCGCTGCCGGCACCAGAGTAGGAGCCATAGAAGAAGAGAGCCAGGATGCCAACAGCCGCGGTGCCCGCCAGGAGGCCAACGAGGACCAAAGGAAGCCTCTGAGGTTCGCCACCTGTCGCGGCCATGCTCACCTGCACAGCACGGCCCTCAGTCTGGAAAGTGGGGGCCTGTGCCAAGGCTCCAGCCTCGTGCTGCGTGCTGCCACGCAACACCTGGGGAGCAGTGAAGCTCTCACTGGGCAGCAGCATGTAGGTGGCGCATGCCACCACAGCCAACACCAGCAGGTTGGAGCTACGCGCCATCGGATCTTCTTGAATGAATCGGGGGAGGCCGAGCTTGATCCGCTGGAAACCAACTGGACCAACCAAGTTAGACGTACTTCACTCCAAGCTTCACAAGTTCTTTTCAGTGGTTGGTGTTTTTCAGTTGGTGGTTCCATCTTTCCCAATAAAGGGCTTTGAATCTTTGGAAAACAAACGGTTTCTTAAAACAAAACAATCTTATGAATTGCAAGTCTGTTGCTGGTGCAATGCTGTCAAACCCCCTCCAGAGAAGGTGTCCGTGTTTCCGTCAAACCTGGCCTGTTGTTTCCTCCCATGTGGTTCCAACTGGTGCTTGACAGAAAGAAATGAAAGGCGACCAAACCTTGAAATTGGTAAGACATCTTTGCCATCTCAACAACTGCTTTAGACATCATTATCTTCGTGTGTCTCTTGTTTCAACCCTGCACGTTCATAGAGCAAGCAGGTCAAGACACTACTGCTGGTTGGTCATGGTGTGGTTTCAACGTGTTTCATTGTTTCAACCAATGATCCAAGAAAACCAGTCGCTTTATGAAGCCGGCCCGTGGAACACACAAAACTCAAGCACTCAAGTTTTGCAGCAGACTCAAACTTGTCTAGTTGGTGTCTCTACCGAAAAAGAATCATAGCATAAAAATGTTCAGACTACCTCAAAGACCGCTGCCGGCACCAGAGTAGGAGCCATAGAAGAAGAGAGCCAGGATGCCAACAGCCGCGGTGCCCGCCAGGAGGCCAACGAGGACCAAAGGAAGCCTCTGAGGTTCGCCACCTGTCGCGGCCATGCTCACCTGCACAGCACGGCCCTCAGTCTGGAAAGTGGGGGCCTGTGCCAAGGCTCCAGCCTCGTGCTGCGTGCTGCCACGCAACACCTGGGGAGCAGTGAAGCTCTCACTGGGCAGCAGCATGTAGGTGGCGCATGCCACCACAGCCAACACCAGCAGGTTGGAGCTACGCGCCATCAGTTGCAATTCACCTTCGGGTCTTGAAAACGGCGCTGCAGTTTGTGTTCTTGAGCCTGAACACTCTGCACACATCTCTTTGGTTTGGGGTGTCCATCACTCAGAAGGGTAGCAATGGTCGCAGAATCCAAAACCAAGCAGTTTCTAAAATTATATTAAAACTTAAAACATCAAAAACAGGAATGGTACTTCATTCATCAAACTAAGTCGTTGGCCTAGCACAACAATGTTTTGCAAAAATTGCTTCAGGCTAGGGACTTTGACATGGTCACATGCACAGCTCAAGTCACCGAGTCTGACAGAACATGTTGGGTGAAATTGGATCCTTTTCTTCTTGAAGAAATTCAGAAATGTCGATAGTTTTTTCATAGCCTCGTTTTTTGGGCAGCAATGGCCCAACATTGCTAATCTGGTGGTTGAGCCACGCATCAACAAACAACTGAAGTCAAACTGGGTGAATATTTAATGTAGGGTGGAAGATAAGCAACAAATCCCTTGGGTCTGGACTGATATGCAGTTCACCCTTACCGCAAACAGCAACAGATCGCAACTGTTTTTGCTCGCGGCTTTGTGGGCCATTTTGAGTGTTTCTATTATCAAGCTCTTCAAGCTGAATCAAACAAAAAATTCAGCTCTCACAGACCGCTGCCGGCACCAGAGTAGGAGCCATAGAAGAAGAGAGCCAGGATGCCAACAGCCGCGGTGCCCGCCAGGAGGCCAACGAGGACCAAAGGAAGCCTCTGGGGTTCGCCACCTGTCGCGGCCATGCTCACCTGCACAGCACGGCCCTCAGTCTGGAAAGTGGGGGCCTGTGCCAAGGCTCCAGCCTCGTGCTGCGTGCTGCCACGCAACACCTGGGGAGCAGTGAAGCTCTCACTGGGCAGCAGCATGTAGGTGGCGCATGCCACCACAGCCAACACCAGCAGGTTGGAGCTGCGCGCCATGGTTCTTCTCAAGATGATTGCGAGGGGGCAAATGCAGGCCGGCAACTCCCAAAGCTGGAACCAAGCATATACAGATATGCGTTCAGGATCCCATGGAAACCATCCAATTTGTGGGAAGCAACGACTTCCCCAAAAATCTGATATGCAACCTGGACCAAGAGGTCTCAGCTTTGATTTGAGGAGACCCAAAGGATTTCTGATTGAAATCTTGCTGTCTTGCCTCATCTTCTAGAGCAGTTCCACATGCCTCAAAAGACAAGCTCAAGCTCAAAGCTGTGTGAACCCCAAACTACAAACCTGCCATGAAATATCACAGGAATGTGCACTGAGGTAAATCTACTGCGGCGTTCTAGTATGAACATGTATAGATCAGGTAAAAAAATATAAAGCACATGTGGGAAGAGAGGGGCAGACAGAACCTACCTGTGTGAAACACCCTGCTGAGTATAAGCCTTGATCGTTGTTTTTCGACTTATAAGCTGTTGGAAAGGCAGAGTAAAAATCGTGACCGCGTTCAGCCAGAAAAATCGCTGCAAACTGCTGCTCAATCACACTTTTTTTATCAGCCGTTCTGAGTGTTTCGACTATCAAAAGTTGCTTGTCAACCTAAGTCAATAAAAACAAAGCGCTCACAGACCGCTGCCGGCACCAGAGTAGGAGCCATAGAAGAAGAGAGCCAGGATGCCAACAGCCGCGGTGCCTGCCAGGAGGCCAACGAGGACCAAAGGAAGCCTCTGGGGTTCGCCACCTGTCGCGGCCATGCTCACCTGCACAGCACGGCCCTCAGTCTGGAAAGTGGGGGCCTGTGCCAAGGCTCCAGCCTCGTGCTGCGTGCTGCCACGCAACACCTGGGGAGCAGTGAAGCTCTCACTGGGCAGCAGCATGTAGGTGGCGCATGCCACCACAGCCAACACCAGCAGGTTGGAGCTGCGCGCCATGGTCGGATCTTTGTTCGAGGAAACACAAGGGCTGTCTGATCTGAACTGAGAGCTGCAGCATTAGTCGCATACCTTATTGGGTGAGAATGGCTCCAAAGTCACTGGACCTCAAGTTCTGATCACCCGAACAAACATACAACCTTACCCAATAAAAAGGTAGAAGCGCAAATCTCCACTACTTTGGTGGTGTCTTGCCCCTTTTATCTTGTTAGACACAAGAAGGCCATGCACTGTCTATTTTGCTGCCTGGGAGCCTGTAATACCATATCGAGTCATTTGATAAATCAACATGAATCACATCAATTACAGCATTGGACGGTGAACGTATATAGCAACCCCAAAAAAGTTCGAAATGTAAAATTCGACAAACTTTTGCTTTCTCCTTGGAGGATTACTACACCTGAGACATCTTGAAAATCTGTCAGTTCGATGGATGACCCAATCTATCCAGTAGATGCATCTTCGCAAAAGACTGCCAAATGAGCAGTGTTCCCAACCCTCTGTCTTAATAGGGATAGGTATTCCCAATGGATCATGATAATCCCCAATATATTGGGCCAATCAAGCCCTGACTTTCGTCTTTACCTTCAAAAATTAAGGTGATGAAGCCCCTAGTTCTTGTATCAATGTGATGTCCACAAATAGAAGGGCTTCAGTCCGAACGACGTCCTTCAGCATTTTCCATGGGAGCTATGAGAGTTGAGCTTCAGTTTCTACCATCCATCTGCGGACCTCTGGTGAGCCGCTAAGCCGGGCACGGATGTGCCTCGCTTTCGAAAAAGTCAGCATGTCATTCCACGACAAAGGGCCTTTCACTCACAGACCGCTGCCGGCACCAGAGTAGGAGCCATAGAAGAAGAGAGCCAGGATGCCAACAGCCGCGGTGCCTGCCAGGAGGCCAACGAGGACCAAAGGAAGCCTCTGGGGTTCGCCACCTGTCGCGGCCATGCTCACCTGCACAGCACGGCCCTCAGTCTGGAAAGTGGGGGCCTGTGCCAAGGCTCCAGCCTCGTGCTGCGTGCTGCCACGCAACACCTGGGGAGCAGTGAAGCTCTCACTGGGCAGCAGCATGTAGGTGGCGCATGCCACCACAGCCAACACCAGCAGGTTGGAGCTGCGCGCCATGGTTCTTCTCAAGATGATTGCGAGGGGGGCAAATGCGGGCCAACAACTCCCAAAGCTGGAACCAATACAGGCAAACACACCATCAATCTGATATCAACTCACTGGGGCCGAAAATGATGACTTGCTTTTTTCGGACCTTAAATGAAATGATCCAAAATGAGCACACCAAGACAGTGTCCATGTAATTTCAGGGCACTCAGAACTAATTCATCTCAGACAGTTTCCCATGAATGGCTTCCACACAGTGACACAGATCCTGAATATCAATGGATATCAATGGATATCAATCAATGATTGTTTATTGTTTATACCAAATATACCAAGAAAAAACAGCCGCGATCAGCATTTTGGCGCACGAAACCGTCCACCGACCGTTGGATTCTCGGCGTGACTGATCGAAGGGGTGATCCCAACCCTTGGAACGTCCTGACTGAAACCGCGAGATGTCGGAAGGAATGTAGTGGGCAAGGTTCCATCCATGTAAGTAGTACCTGACCTTTGGGGGCAGTTGTAAGGCCATATAATATGTATATATATATATATACAACTTGTAACTCATTCTTGAAGGAGAGTTCAAAAGCAAACCGCATCCGTTTCCAAAGCAGCTGGCAACATGTCAATATATGTAAATACATGTCAATATATGTCAATATATGTCAATATATGTCAATATATGTCAATGTGTCCCAAATATTCACTGGGGTACCCCATTTTCAGACAAACCCATATTATATATATATGATATACAGATAGATAGTTACTACAGTAATCTACAGTATATTATTACTACGTGATATCTCTGTACATCTTCACAAGTCAATGTCATAAGTCAACTCTGAAGTTTTCCCAAATATTCACGGTTCACTGAGGGTTTCAACGATTGGGCTTGCCTGTCAGGTGAGACGGCGAGGGGTGAAACGGACACAACTCCGGCGCTTTGAAGATGTCTGCGCGCTGAGTGAAGTATCCCATAATATCCATTCAAAACCATCATGTGGATGTAGCTAGAAAGATCGATCATTGTCCCATAACTAGGGAAAGATGCACCATTTTTAATGGGTAAATCAACTATAAATGGTAAATATGCCATAGCAGCCAATAATGTCCTTTTGGTAAAAATAGGTTTGGGCCGGGAGCTGGTTAATCCCATCTATCATCATAGAAAGCTGTTGTTAAAGGGGTTTCTTCAAAACCCTCTATTCATCAACCAGCCAATGGGAAAAGGACATCTATGGGATGTACACTGGGGATATTAATCATAATGAGCTCATGGGGATCTAAACCCAACCATTCCTGCTAAAATATCCATTCCATGTTGGCATGCAACGCCTTCGAGTTAGCCCTTCCTCTGATCTATGTGAACCTCGCTCATCTCCAAACCGCCAGAAATTTGGATTCCTTCTCTTTCTCTTCATCGCTCCATGCGGCTCGAGCGTTGCCCCTGGGCACAAAAAGGGGGGGCTGCTTGATGACGGGGCTCCCTGAACTCAATTACTTGGAGTCTCGTGGTGGGACTGGATTATGGCCAGCTAAACCACGAACACTTGGCGATACCAGATTCTCTTGGGTTTTTTCTATAAACAATCTCTATTCTTGGTGGTGGTATCCTCAAAAAGCGGTCTATGCGTGCTGGTGATCTTCTCATCATTTTCGTCTTGTTGACTTCGCCGTGGAGCCACAATGGCATGAACAATCACCCGCTTCGAGTGATGTCGATGTTTGGCAGGTCCCTATTATATAACCTCTAACTATACATTCATACATGTGTATATATATATATACATATATACATATATCATATATATCATACATACATACATACATTGCATTACATTACATTACATCACATCACATCACGTCACGTCACATCACATCACATCACATCACATCACATTACATTACATTACATTAATTACATACCATACCATACCATACCATACCATTACATTACATTACATCACATCACATCACATCACATTACATTACATTACATTAATTACATACCATACCATACCATACCATACCATTACATTACATTACATTACATTACATTACATTACATACATACATACATACATTACATACATACATACATACCTATATATAAATATGTATATATATATATATACTGTATATTATATATACTATCCTCAGACAGTGTGAGAACCATGACACCATCAACCACTCACCTTGGGTCTATTTTCCAGTTCCCAGGATCCAAAGGTGGAGCCTCCCATCACTGTCCCAGTCAAAAAATGGCTGAAATACCTCTCTTGCTGAAAATCCCAAATAGTGAGAGGCTGATTCTGAAGAATTCTTGCTGAAATCTTGAGAAACCCAAGTATTCTTGCAAATCCCAAGTATTGTTACTTAAGCCTCTGGTAAACTAACATAACTATGGAAAATCACCATTTTTAATTGGAAAACTCACTATAAATGGCCATTTTCAATAGCTATGTTAGTTTACGAGAGGGTAAGCCTCCATTCTTTCTGGTTGAATCATGCTGAAACCCATTGTTGTCTGGAGAAATCCCCAGAAAACTTGGCTGCTTCAATCCGAGTGAAATCACCACGAGCACCCAATTCATCCCTTTTCTACTGGATAAACTATGAAAAATCCCCAATTGTTTCCTGGTTAGATCCATATATATATATTATATAAATCCCCATGTTGGTCAGTTGATTTCTGCTGTTTTTGTCACCAAACCTATCCCTCGCGCCTGCTCTGACTGCGTTCAATCTTCGGGGGCGAAGCCACTGCGCTGGGCCGCTCGCGGGAGAGGTCCACCTGCTGGAGAAATGAGGAGAAAAGCTGCGAAAAATTGGAGGGTTAGCCATGGAAAATGGAGAATTCCCCCAGGAACAATGGTGGATTCTGAGTTCACCAAGGATGGATGCTGGATGACTGGGATTTTTTCTAGTTGGGGCTGAATGAACTAGCAAAAACATGAGGATTTCGTCAGGAAAATATCCATGGTTTCACCAAGACAGGGTTTTCACTGTTTCAACAATGGGGAGTCAAGGATTGAAGCATCCAGCTCTGTTCGGCCAAATCTTTCAATGCACTGTGCTGCACATGGGATACCCGACACAGTAAACTGACACAACTATGGAAAATCACCGTGTTTAATAGGTATGTTTTTCTCCAAGTGGCTACTTTCCATAGCTATGTTAGTTTACCAGAGGGTGTTGTTTTGTTTGATACACACACACAATACAAAAAAAGAAAAAAAAAAACGCGGTTCCCTGGGACGTCTTTTTCTGACCCATACCTCCCATATCCAATGATCCCAAGTAATGTCAGTGATTAATCATGCCCCCCTGTTGTCCCATATGCTTTGCTTTTCAATATTCCAATGTTTTCTTTTAGTCAAACAATTAACTGGTTAAGCCCCAATTCTTGTTTCTGGCGGGTTTCACAGTGGCAGAAGCAACAAACAGGGTCCAGTGATTGGACCTGGTCCTTCGGAGAGTCTGGCAGCATCAATATATGTCATGCCATCTCGAAACCTAACGAAACATAACGTTATAGGCGCGCACTTTGAAACACCTTTCGAAACCCATTTTGGTTGCACTCCAAAAGTTCTGTTGCTGTATGTGTATATATATTATATATATACACACATTGTTTGCATTGTTTGTCGATTGACATCCTAACCTTTTCTTGTTGTTTAGTCCAAACCTCAGCAAACTCCACCGTCTGTTGGCATCCTGGTCCTTCTTGGCTCTCCCTTTCTGTTGGGGATGGGTCAAAAGCCTGGTACCCCTGGTGAACCCCAAGTCATAGCTGGGATTTATCAATGTGAATAACCCACTAAAAATGTATCTATAGGTATTGACCCATACCCATTTGAAATCCAGTTTTTGTTTGTTAAATGCGATACCCGCTGGTAAACGTTTACATAACGAACTGGAAAGATCCACCATGTTCAATGGGAAAATCCGCTATTTCTATGGCAATTTTCAATAGCTATGTTAGTTTACCAGAGGGTAGTTTTGCTAATCACCATCCCCTCAACTACTGCAGACCCTGAAAATCGCCCATCAGAATTTCGGATAGTCTTCCAACCCCGTGCAGGATCTATGTCAATTTGTCTGAAAATAGGGTACACCAGAATACCATCGTTTGTTATCAATTGTCCGATCCAAATTGCCATTTTCTGGGTCAACAAAGGTATTTTTATCTATGTTTGACTGCTCAGATGAAAAATCTTACCAAAAAACAACCCGCACGGTGCCTCTGAAGCACTCCGTGCCAAGCCCTCCGGGGGAAGCTTCCTTGGACCAAGGAACAGCGGCCCCTGTGGGGTGAAAGGAAAACAACAGTTAGATGGCGATACTGTTGGGGTGAAACATATGCTATATCAATGGATTGGTTTAAGGAAAAAAATACAGGAAACTCCCATATTTCATGGGAAAATCCATTGATTATAGTATCCCAACAGTATGACTCTCAGTATGACTATCTTACTATAACACTTATGGGATCATGATCGATATCCAGATGGGCTATCTCAGTAATAGATACAGGGCTAGGTAAATATCCTAAGTGTTCACATCACCTGACAAAATAAGGGAATACAATCTTCCACAGGTACTTTTTGAGGTGATGTTCCAAATCTCCAAAACGGGACATTTACCAACCCGTAATGAATACTATGGAATATTGATAATTGCATTACCATAAACCCTGCTGCTAGTGAAGTACGAGTGAACTAAACCAACTTTGTTTATCGTTTGGGCCCCACCTTTTGGAATTTTTTAAAGGAGGGGTACTGCACCGTGCCCTGAGAATCAATGGAAAAACACTATAGAGGTCCCATAGAGGTCCCAAAAAAATGGCCGAAACGTGTTCCAGGATGCTTCGATAATCCAAAACCATCCAGAAACTCCGTGATTTCCCAGGGCCCTACCTTTCGGTCTGAAGCTCTGATCTAACTGTGGCTGCAGTTGGCAACAAGAAGGTACCCTTTGGTAATTTAACATAGCTATTGAAAATGGCCATAGTTATAGTGAGTTTTCCCATTAAAAATGGTGATTTTCCATAGCTATGTTAAATTACCAGAGGGTAAACGAAACCAGAAAACAAACCATTTTGGGAGGTGCAAAAAAACAAACTATCCCAAATAGAGTAATAATCGTGTAATCAATCAAACTTTGGGATAGCTTCTTATTGGGTTTAGCCCATTGACGCCTGCGTCCCTATTGTCATATTATACTAAGAATCACAACACATATTTTTGGCCAATTTTGGTTGGTGAATCCTGAGTTGTTTGGTGGTTCATATAGCCATCATGTAAACGTGGAATGTTCAGGGTCTTGCATGGTGATTAAGAACCCTGGCTACCCTGGTTAGCTCACCCACTTGCCTACGGGATATCCCCACGTTATGCCCATCGATGAAAATTCCAATCTGCTTCGATCCCCAACCATGTACTGTTTCAATAAGAAATCGTCAGGGAAACCCAACCTGAACCCCCTACTTGATCAACAAGGGGTTATTCTTAAATCATGATGGTGAAATATTTCACTAAGTTCACTGCTTCAATCCAGTGGCTTAGTGGCTTTCCACATTAGATAGAGCACCATAGTTTTGACAGAAATCACCATATTTCCCCATGCTTAAATCACGATGTTGGTTGCTGAATGACTACAGGAACCCGTGCTCTTTTGGTGACGAGATTCTCTCATTTTGGGCCCAAAGGTATCCCATGTTGGTTTCCCCGGTGTCCTCCCGTTGGTGAAATCTCAATGGTTCAAACCATGCCAGAAACTAGCCATTTTGGAATAGTTTATATCACCCATTTATATCCATTTCTGGTATACCATCTGGTTATTTAACATCGCCATGGAAAATCCCCAAAATAAATGGAGGTTTCTAGCTGGGAAAATCATCTATAAATGGGTCATTTTTCCATGCATTTTTCCATGGCTATGTTAAATAGCCAGAGGGTAGATCGATGATCCATTCCACCAGAAGGGTCCATTTCACCACAATGGAAACGCCATGAAACGCCAAGCTGCCAGGCCCTGTAGGATGTCTCCCTACCGCACTGCACGCACTTCTGCCCGCTGGGCGGCACCACGTAGCTGCGCTGCTTGCGCCGGTCCAAGGCGCGCCGCAAGTTGTACTCGAGGTCAACGATCATTCCCTGCCCAGAAATGGACATCACCCGGAAAAAAAGTGGTGATTTTACCATGGGTCAACCCAAAAAATGGTGATTTTACCATGGTTTACCATGGTTTAACCATATGTAAGCTGCAAAAAGTGAGGTTCAAGCATGAAGAAAAGGGGACCTTCACCGGCACCGGCTGTGATTTAACCAGCCCAAGCCAGGGTTTTCAGTAAAATTCGATGGAACTCGAGGATGGAAACAAACAGAAATTGCGGATGGACCATAAAGGTTTATACAATGTGAGGCCCCCGTTCGATAGCTAAGTTGGTGCAAATAACTCCAATTTCACTATGGTTTATGGTACGCAAATAACTATAGTTACTGGGGTGAATCTTAACCAACTTAGCTATCTTGGGGGCCTCACATTGTACCCTTGGACAAGTTTTGAGAATGATGGAAATCATCGAGATTTCACCGAACATGACGATGTTTTTTCCATGGATTTCATACCATCCAGAGGATCATCTCATTTGGAAAGTGATCAATGACACTGGTTGAGAAGTCCCGAGTTTGGGATTATAGCTGGATGACAACCAATCCATTTTTTTCAGGATTTATTCATGTGTTGATCAAAAGACCTCACGTTGGCTCAAACATGCTAAAACTTCCGGGGTTGATAAAGATCTCATGAATTTCACTTTTCTGACGACTTTCTACATAAAAGACTTCAAACGGTTTGTTTGTTCACCCATTACCCTCTGATAAACGTTTACATAACTATGGAAAATCACCATTTTCAATGGGAAAATCCACTATTTCTATGGCCATTTTCAATAGCTATGTTAGTTTACCAGAGGGTACCATCTCGCCAGCTAAGAAAGACCCTGAAGATTGCCAATCCAACTCTCCGAAAGTCGCCTAAAAAACCGGTCGTTGATGCATCACCAAGGCCCCAAATCCCACAGAACTGCACCAAGGTCCACCCGAGGTACTTGGGAGTGTCAGTTGCTACTAATCATGGTCACCAGTTCTACATAGAATATCCCCTACGTGTTGGTTATATTAGGGCTATGTTCTAACTGAAATGCACATTCAAGGTAGGCACCTTCAGTATTTCGTTTTTTCCACATCAAAACAGCAAGGTTTTTCCATATTTTCCCCTCGAAATCCACCTCAAATCCACCCTTAAATTTCTCCAATGGGTCACAAAAGGGGCACCCGTGATTTCACCGCCCCAACTCGCGCACCACTCGGCGGTGCTGCGGTGCCTTCAGAGCGTGGATGTGCTTATCCTCCGCGATCTCACGCTCCAGCACGGCGATGCGTTCGTCCTTGGCCTCGTTCTCCAAGTCTCTCAGCCGCGCCAAGATCTCCAACTCCTACGCGTTGCGTTGCAAAAAACCAGCCGTGGCTGTGGATGAAAATGGGATTTACCCCAATTTAGCAGCAAAAATGCAGATATCATGATTATTATCCACTGAATCATCATTAATGATTATGCATTATTGTGAATTATTGTAAACTATCATGAATTTACCAGGTATTGTCCTGTAATCATTTCCTCATGTATAGAGATATATTCGTAGCAAAAAAACATGACCTATGAACCCTGGAAACCGACGATGCCCCAAAATTTGTAGCTCTAACATCACCTAAATCCTACAAAAATCTATAGAAAACCTATGTTGACAATTGAACACGTACTGTGGAAAGTTGCGAAATCCTGCACCACCATTGATGGGTGATGTTGAAACCCTATAAATATTGGGATAAATAACATCCCTCAACTAGCGCAGGATTTCGCAACCATCCACATGAAATAAAAACCCAAATTGGAGCAACCCTGAAAATCTATAGAACACCTATAAAATCATTGAACATCATTAAAAATGGATTAACAACCTGTAGGTTTTGATCAGTGCATTAACAACCTATAAATCTACAGAGAAACCCACTGAAAAACCCACCCCACTTCACCCCCAGTCACAATTGAAACTCCCTGTCCTGTGCACGTTGGAGTCTCAAGCGCTCGGTCAGAGCTGCGAACCTTCGATGTGGAAGCTCTTTAGCGATGACGGCAATGGCTCAAAAATTGATGTTGTATATAGATTATCTATGGAAGATGGTTAATCTATTGCTATAGATACTTAATCTATTACTATAGAATCTACAGATATAGAATCATTATAGAATGATTAACCATCTATATCTATAGACTAATAGCTATTGATTATTATAGATTAGTCTATAATCATCTACATCTATAGAATCTATAGATAGGTTGCCTTGATGCCCCTTTTTTTTACCCCATTAACCCCATTGATGTCACCGTAAATGGCTAAAGCCTTCAGATTTTCCCAGCAATTCTGAGATGAATAGATCATTACAGATAACCAAAAAAAAGAACTATGGAAATACGATTTTCTATAGATAGTTATCTATGACAAATGGTTAATCATTATTACTTATCTATATATATATAGATAGATAGATAACCATGGATAACAAATATAAAGGATAATATGGCCTCTATGATGACTATGCATTATCTAGAATGATTGCATAAGGTGCCCATGATTGGGCCTCAAAATTCTATGTGGACAATCTGTAATATCAACGCGAAATTCAATACCTTAAAACAGAGGTACTGTACCATATAAAGCCACGATATTTTGGGCATATCCCCTTACATAGCCCTTACATATAATTATTTATAACTATATGGTCATATGGTTACAGTTTATAACTAACCTTTATAATTTATGGTTGCAACTGATAACAATTTATGTCTATGGCGGCCCAAATAATAACAAAAAGGCACCTCTTTGGACCCACAAAAGGCGATTTGCAGGATCTGAAATAAATGCTTGAGCCACGGATCAGTCATAGTCATGTATATGATATGTGTATACCATTCATTGATGATAGAGAATTAGAATTTGAATTATGATTATCCAGTGTATCCATTATATTTGACATGACGGACTTCCATAATGGATAAATCATGGAGAGATAAACTGGGGTACCTGTTTGGAACCACAGCCATATGTATCCAAGTGGTGGATCCATTCACATATTTCTGGTGCAAAATTTGGGAAGAAAAATCCATCTGTAGGGTTTTTCTTCCTACCACATTGCTAACTTTAGTAAGACCCTTCGGGGAAAAAAAACAACTGGCTAGGTCAGAATTCTCTCATGTGATGATTCAACAAACATATATAAGCCAGTTGCTTACCAGTCATTAAGGCTCACCCATATGTTAATGACAAAACGACTATTTATTTGTTGTCTAAGTCCCTATTAACAAATTGATTAAACTCCTTCAAACCATTATTGTTCTTGGTTAAATCGGAAATGTTGTTCGTTGAATCTCAATTTATGTTTGTTAGATCCGAATTTTTGTTGGCTAAATCTAGGCGTGTTAAAACCCTATGTTTGTTGGCCAGATCACATTTTTTTGTTGGCTATGTCCCAATTTGTTGTTGGCTAAATCCTTTTTTTGCTTGGTTAGATCCCCAAAAAAAAATGGTATTTGAACCAACAAAACAAATTGGATCCCAATTGTTGGTTAAACCAATTTGGAGGTTTTTGGTTGGTTAGATCCCAGTTGTTCGCTCGGTTCAACCTCCGTTTTGACCAAGGGAACTGTCGGGCGCTGGCCGCAACCAACTCCCGACGCATCAAATCGCCCTCGAGTTGTTCCCGCAACACTTCCATCCTGTGCCGGGGATCAACTAGCTTGGAAAGTGGGTTGACTATTGTTTTTAGTACCCTCTGGTTATTTAACATAGCCATGGTATAGATGGCCCATTTATAGATGATTTTCCCAGCTATAAACCTCCATTTATAAAGTATTGCTTTTAGTAATTACCATCTGGCTATTTAACATAGCCATGGAAAATCCCCAAAATAAATGCAGGTTTTAGTTGGAAAATCATCCATAAATGGGCCATTTTCCATGGCTATGTTAGATAACCAGAGGGTAGTTTGGCAATCTACAGCTAAGAATCACTTTCTGAAAATTCCTGTGGTTGGTAGAAGATCTAGGTTCGTAATCGATATTATATAATCTATATATTGCTGTAAATCCGGGTTAGTCACCCCGCTTAGTACCCTCCTGTACATAAACTTATAGCTAACAAGAAAAACGGCATCATCCTCATAGCTACCGTACTGGCACATAAGTCTGGGAATGGAGTCAAGAATTGCTATCGAGTCAATGTAGAATTCCATATCATCTCAGAAATGTAGAATTCCATATATCATCCAAAAGCCTCCAAAAGCCTTATCAGGCTCCGGTGGAACCTATTGAACTATCATTCCAGTGCATAGTGAGGTCATAATCAAATTCAGGAATACTAGGGTGTAGCCACATGCAGGATCTTGCTGGCAAAGATTTAGCAGAGGCTGGCAACCCCTTGCAAGCCGCGCTTTCGATTTCGGCAGTTGAATAGGGATATTCGGATAGCATTAAGTAATCTAATTCAATTAGAATTGGGATACATATAGCATGAACTAGTTGAATTCTAATAATATTTATAGGGATCTAGTTGAAATTTAATAGGGATACATAATTCATTGAATCCAAGAATCAGTTGAATAGGTTAAAAAAAATCCACCGATGATTCGTTTTATGGTTGAAAGCTCGCCCAATGGGATGGATATAAACTGTGGTTAAGCCCCATCCTGTAGCAACCCCCGCAATAAACATGATGCAGAAAACGAAATTCCACGTGGCAATTGAACCTTTACTGAACCTTTTTTTGCTGGTTACTGTGAGCATAAATCATGACAAAATCTAACCAAGTGTAGTTTAGTATATAAAAAAAATGTTACTATTATCAATGTATATATATATATATATAGAAAGGGGTACTATAATATACTGTAATGATATGTGCTATTATTCTTACATATTATGATCCTGTTATATATAATAAATGTCTACATTAGACAAAATTATTACTATAATACTAGTACTATATTATATTGCTACCATATATGTACCATTACTACTGTATCTATGAATACTGCTTACTTTTATTATAATTATTGTTTTAGTATATGTGCATACTAGAAGGTAATTCGTACTATTTTACATACAATACCACTATCTATTACAGTATGCCATGGGCAATCAACCCTTTCCAGCCGCCCCAAATCCGGCCTGAGCTGGTCCATGAAATTCATCAAGGGCACCTGAGAGGCTAGATGGCAGTCGATGGCTGGTTAGCAACTGGGGTTAGTTCAGCCATTTATTAATGGGATAACCCACTCAGGATTTACTAAGCAGGGTTATTAACTACCATCTGGTTATGACTAACAGTTTGCCATGGAAAATCCCAACCATATATGGAGGTTTCAAACGCTGGGAAAATCATCTATTTCTATGGGCCATCTATACCACGGCTATGTTAGATAACCAGGAGGGGTACTTACTTTGAAGTACCCTCCGGTGTCATCAAACGTGACTGGCTGGAAAATCCCCGAAGTAAACGGAGGTTCTAGTACGAAAATCATCCATCAATGGGAGGGATTTTTCATTGCCACGTTTGATGACACCGGGCTACCACGTTGCCGAAGGGTACTGACCAAACTGAGAGCCAACATCAGTTTTTGCAGCTCTAAATATCCACTACCATTGGTTGCATCGCATGAAAACTATTGTACTAAACAGTACCAAAGATGATGATGCTCTCTTTATTGAAACTTTGGCCATGTCCAAACTTTGACCTTGTTTCACTGGGTATATTAACCCTATATACGTACAAACCTGTTTTGGAGGGTGAACATTCCCCTTGATTCTTTGCTAGCTCCCCTTCTTGTACTCATGTTTTGCACTATATATGTATATACACATGTGTACATGTATTATTTGATTATATGTTTACCGATTTGTCTGGGCAAATTCGGCTATTGCATGTCGTAGAAATATAACCCCAAACAAGCAACTTTGGGGCTGAATTCCCTACTCCATCATTTAGAGATCGTTCTTTTCGATCAGAAAGCACTGAGATGTTTGGTTCACAAATGGATCTCAATGTCTGCCAGATGATCCCGGCCTTTAAGGTTTGACCCATAGTCAGTTAATCTACGCCGATCTTAGATACCCAGCAAAACATTGCCAATGGTTTTTCCCATTAACTCCCAGTTTTGTTGGTACAAGTACCCCCCCCCAGCGGCCCAGCGGTTTGAAGGTTGTAAACCCATTTTTTTCATCCCCATATTGCCACAAATCAAGCTACCAGAGCAGCAAAAGTGGGGAAAACACCAAGTTGTCATCGGCAAATCATCATAGATCATCATAGATCATCATAGATCATCATAAATCATCATAAATCATCATAAATCATCATAAATCATCATAAATCATCATAAATCATCATAAATCATCATAAATCATCATAAATCATCATAAATCATCATAAATCATCATAAATTATCATAAATCATCATAAATCATCTATAGATACGTTAAATCTCTCATTTTTCACCGGCTTTCCCAGGTTTCCATCTTTTCCGGTTGGGTTTTCCGGTTGGTCTTTTCTGCCAGGCACCATCTGCTTGGAGCTCCAGGTTAACTGCTGATTCACCGCAGCCAGGGAGGCCTGGTGGCGGAGGTGCTACATTTTAGCAATAAAGATTGCCAATTTGCCATGTATATATATATATATACCATCTGGTTATTTAACATAGCCATGGAAAATTACCATTGATAATAGGTAAACCATCTATAAATGGGCCATTTTCCATGGCTAAACCTCTTCGGATAAATCACCATGATATATATATAATAATATATATATTATATATATACACACCATAAATGTTACCATACATACCAGCACCATGGATCCTATGGGTACTGACAGTCACAGAAAACGGGCCAAGCAATTGAGGGACCAAGCATTCCTGAAACAATCTTGAAATACATTAGAATACTGCTAGGAAATATGACACAATCATTATACTTTTTGTTTTTTTGCAATTCCTACCATAATCTAATATAACTTATAATGTTCTTGCCCTACCAAGTTTTGCAATCATGAAACTGGCAATCTCGATTCCTACTGTACCCCCAAAATGAAAACCGAGAGAAAGTGTGTTCTCCCCCGTTTGACTTGGTGAAGTTCTACCACCCCATTGAAACTCCGGAAAAAAATCATGACACGGTATAGAAAAGTGATCATCAGAAACCTCTTCGGATAAATCACCATGATGTATATATATCTGGGTAAATTGTAATATTTCACTAACCTGAAATAAGGCCCACATGGGGATGATTCACCTTATTAGCCATGATTCCAGTGAGGGAGAGTAGTGAGGTCGTTATAATTTACCCGGATATGTATATATATATATATATATAACCATTGTATACGTGTGGTAAACCACCCCCATGGCCATCCCAAACACCATGGCCACCCCCTCCATCCCCGGGTTTTCCACGGCACCTGAGTGGTGTCCAGGTGCTTCTCCAAGCGGAGCGCAGCACGGAGAGGCTGCCAGAGCTCCCAGATCCACTGCAGATATTCCAAGCGCTCGTAGGGACGTTGCCCTCGAACGACAATGTAAGCAATGGTTTCTCTATCCTATTCTATTCTATTATCTTATACTATGTAATATTATATTATATTATATCATATTATATCATATCATATTATAGTATAGTATAGTATAGTACAGTATAGTATAGTGTGTTATAGTATGTTATGCTATGGGATTGAATGCAAAATGATGGGGATATGCATATATATATGCATATATATATATGTGTGTGACCATATTATCTACATATTACCTATTGATAAACCAGATATACTATGAACCATATTATTTACAAACCATCAGTTGTATCAAAAACCTCACACTTAGTAAACCATAACAGTTTATCTAATATTGTCCATACAACTGATATGGTGAGTAAATGGTTCATAATTCATAACCCAGGCATCGTAAATGACAAACATAACCCATCTATGTGTATATATATAAACATGTGTTTTTCACAGTATGTATGGGTGTATATATATATATAATGATGATGTTTTAGAACCAGCTATTGCATGTAACTTGTGAGGGTGAAGTTGACATTGTCTGGTGATAATCAACCACTTTATGGGGATAGAGTCTAGTGGATAATGTGATTGATATTCAATTTTCAGAGCAACGTAAAACACCATGATACCCATGAAGGGAAAGTGATTTCATGGGGAAATTTCACCAGTTGCAGATCATTTTCCCCAAAAACCATTTGTGGACTGTGTTGATGGTTTGAAATGGGGGAATTAGCCATAAAAACTTACTAGGGATATGCTGTGGTGATATCTAACCAATAATGGAATGTATAATGGGGATAAAATGGGGATGTAATAGGAATATAATGGGATATCACCGTTATTGCATTTTGGATGATAAATGGGCATTTAAACTATTTAAAGCATCAACATGGGGGGATGTAACAGCCCAAATTTGGGTATGTCCCGGATCTGTCCAGAACACGATTTAAGCAACACAGAGTTATGGGGCTTCATGATCAACCATTTTGTGAATCTAAAGGCCAACATACATACATCTAAACCCCCATGACGATGGGATAACGAGATACAGCCCTCAGCCATTCATTGGGGCAACGTGAAACATGGTTTTTAGCGTGAAGAGTCTTTACATTGTATTTCACCAGTGTTTTTTGGTGTTTTTTTTTGTGTTTTTTGGGCTTACCCAAGCATACAAAAAACCATTCACAAGATATGAAAAGTCCACCCTGTGGATCATTTCCAGGGAAATCTTCGGATCTAAAATGGGCTGGGCTACACTCGGATCCATCCGAAACCCTCCAAGTTTTTGTCTTGAGCACCAGCTAAGCACTTGAAGCCGCATTTTGGTGAAGTTCTCCAATTCTCTGTTTTGAAGGAAGCGATCGCCGATGCTCGAGGATCTACATCCGATGCCGCCATTTCCGGATCTTTTTCAGGTACCGGGTCGCCAAACATCGCGAAGGATGTTGCGTCGCAAAGGTTCGGGTGAACAAGGGGAATTCTTATGGCTTCGTGGTGTTTCTTTGGGTACCCTCTGGTCATTTAAGATGATTTTGTAGAAAATGGCCCATTGATAGACGATTTTATATAAATGATGATTTTCCAATATATATATATTATATTATAATGTATATATTATATATTATATTATATATATATTATTATATATATTATATATTATATATTATATATTATATATATATATATATTATTATATATATATATTATATTATATATATCATATTATATATATATGTATATTATATTATATATATCATATTATATATATTATATTATATATATATATCATATTATATATATATTATATATTATATATATATTATATATTATATTATATATATATTATTATATATATTATATATTATATATTATATATTATATATATATATTATTATATATATATATTATATTATATATATATCATATTATATATATTACCTAGATCCGCTATAAATTGCCCATTACCATTTCATTTACCCAGTATCAATGGTGATTTTCCAGTTCGCTCAGCCACTTGGCAGGTCTGGATCCCATGACATCAAGGGTGTGGATCCCATGAGTTGTATACCCTCAAGGAGTTCGGCGTTCGAAACACATAGGGAAAATGGGAAAATGATGGGAAAATGATGGGAAAAGATGAGTTCAACGTATTTCAACATATTTCAACCATCAAAAAATGTGTTGGTTGGTGTGTTGTTCATGTCTTTTTTTTTCCCCTGGCTTTTTCCCCATCAATTTTCAGCCAAACCCACTTTTCCTGCTGAGAATTTCTGGCCAAGGATCTGTAAAGCAAGCGCTTGGCCAGAGCCCGGCGGTCCAGTTTGAGTCGGTTCCTGGGCAAAATGTGCGGTTTTTTCCCGTCGACCTCTGGTAATTGAGCGTGGCTGGCTGGAAAATTCCCTATAAACAATGGGAAAATCATGGGAAAATGATGGAACATGTAGAAAAATATGGACCGAACTAAATGGAGTTTGGATGGGAAAATCGCCTATGAAATGGAGAATTGTTCATTGCAATGTTTGATTACTGGATGGTATGGATTATTTCTGCATGTGGAAAAGCCATGGTTTTCCCCTTTGGACAATGATCTACAAATGATGGCTTTTCTACATCTATGTAAAGGTTTACCCTACTAGTCGCGTTACTTTTAGATGACCCACCCAGCTAACGGATGATTTTTCGGAGGGAGCAACTGTCAAACATGGGAATCGCCCATCACCATGTTGCTGGCTGAATCGCCCTGCGGTGGTGACATCGCGGTGGCTTCCCCTGTCCGAAATCTCTAGGGGTGCCCTGGATTCCGCTGATTCCTTCATGTGTTTTTTTGTGTTTACATGTTGTGCCATTTTTTTCAGGAGTGGTTTTTCCTGTTGTTTTTCAGTATTTTTTTCATTTTTTGCTAGTTAATATGTATATGTATATGTATACATATATATATATATACAATTATATATATACACGTTAATCAAATCCCATCAAAAAATAACAATTGCTTTATCAATTAAAACACAGCACCCAAACAATTTTTCAAGGGAGTAGCCCATGAGCAGTTCAGATCTCCAACAGTGTGTTTGTTGTGGTGGTCTTCTATTGTGTCCTACTTTTTCTTTGGTGAAAACTTTCAAAAATCCCTTTATCCCTGTCTTGGGTAAAGCTGATGTATCTTACTTAGCTTTCATCTCTAAACCTGAGAATTTCAATTTTCCCAAAATATAAAATCCAATACTAAAACACAAATAAAACACAGCACCCAAACAATGTTTCAAGGGGGCAGCCCATGAGCAACCCAGATCTCCAATAGTATGTTTGTTGTGGTTGTCTTCTCTTGTGTCGTACGTGTTCTTATCAATGTCTTTAAGGTTTATATAAAAGGAAAATCAGGTGAAAGTCAATTGTGTTCAATCGAAATCTGTTTTTCATCAATTGATGTTCTTGAAGGTTTAAAAGGAAAACCACAATTGAAAGTAAATTGATTTCAATTGAAATCATTACTCAAGATCGTGATCCAAAACTAGTCCAACCCTGTTCCATCAATAAAATTTCTGTCTGAATTCTTTGGGGGGCACACGAATCAAGAGCCCACATTAAATGGTTACATAACCCCCAATAAGCCAGGTAGTATAACTCCATACTTCATAACCAATCAACATGGATATCTTCAATGCCTAGGCCCTGTGGATGGAATAAATCCTGCATCACCATAGGGATGGTTGAAACCCTATAAATCATGGGATAAATCACCTACCAACTGGTGCAGGATTTCGCAACCATCCACCATATGTTTGAGGTTCACTGCCCACATGAAGACTCTCTCACCCAGCTTCTGTTCGCCCGTCAAACGCTTCACGGAGTCATTGCACCGTAGATTCTCGTTGAGCAGAAACCGCACCTGAAGCAAGGAGCGAGGCTCGAAAAATAAGGGGAAAACCAGACGGCAAAACCAAGGAATTGAAGGAAAAGATAGGGTAAACTCAAGGGATTTTAAAGGGAAAAATATGGAAAAATCATGGTTTAACTTATGTCAAAAGCCATAAATCGGGGATTCATGGAGCGAAAAATATGGAAACTAATATGGTTTAATCAACCAACCATAAGTGTCTGATTTACCAACTATAAATAGCGTTTAAACGGGGATCAAATATCCGAACTAATTGATTTAAGGAGAAATCTACAGGAAACTGTGTAGTTGTTCCTTTAAATCAATTGCACCAATGATGTCCTAAAACTGGGTAAACATGAGGATTATTGGCTATCTCACCCGCAAGAAACCGGGTGATGCTCCGTGCGGAGATGTTGGGGAATAATGGGGAATATATATATATATACTGTATATGTATGTTGGGTGTTTTTTTCCAGGGCGGTTTGGTACACCATTTACCAAGAACCATCATGTAGCCTTTGCTTGTGGAAAAGCCAACAGTGTACACCATCCCACCATGAATCATCACCCTGTACTCTGGCACCGGATGTGGCACAGCCCTTTGCCAACTCTATCATAAGTTCACTATATATAAACCCAAATCGATTAGTAATAAATACCAATGTTTCTTGGCAAATCCGTATTATATATATATATATGTGTATATGTATATATATATATACATGTATATATATACATATATATATATACATATATATACATATATACATACATATATATATATATACATATATATATACATACATATATACATATACATATATATATATATACATATATATATACATATATATATATTTACATATATATATACATATATATATATACATATATACATATATATATATACACATATATACATATATATATATATACATATATATATATACATATATATATGTATATGTATATGTATATATGCATACACATATATATACATATACATATATACATATTTACATATATACATATATACATATTTACATATATACATATATACATATATACATATATACATATATACGTATATATATATATATACATGTACATGTATATATATATGGTCCCGTCCTCCGTCTCTCCACCCCCCCCCCCCCCCCAGGTAGTAGCCCCAATTCCCTTCTATTTGCAAGCTATTGGCAGCATTTCTGAGGTCCAGCGTCGTATTTGCTAGGTCTTTGCAGCATTTCTGACTACCAGCCTCGCATTTACTAGGTACATGCTACCTTTTAGACGACCTACGTAGCACACATACTCCCTCAAAGTACCTACGTGACACCTACGTACTACCTATAGTCATATATACATGTGCTATGTATCTACTTCCTATTTACTACCTGTGTACTCTGACAACATTACATGTGTTTAACATATACCGTACCTACCATACATTCCAATGATGCCATGCATACCATACCTATCATACCTATCATACATACCACATATACCATACATATGCAACATAATTGCCACACCTACCATACATACAATAGCAAACATACATGCCATACATACCATACCTACCATACATCCATACTTTCCAAACATGCCATACCAGACCGACCATACACACCATACATACCCAACATACCATACCACACCCCCACCACACCACAGGGGGGGAGGGGGACAGTACCACACCCCCACCACACCACAGGGGGGGAGGGGGAAGATCTCAATATGGGACCCATCCCATGCGGGGGGGGGGGGAGGGGGGGGGTGGCAGGGCCTGGTGCATATATACATACGTATATATACATACATATACATATACATATGTATGTATACATATATATATATATATATCAATCCCTCCTTTCATTCCACCCGTGGCACTTCATTTCGCAAGGCAAACTCCACGCTGTCGCGCATCTCCTGGAGCAGGTCGACTCGGCAACCAGAGAATGGCTCAATCATTGGAAGAACTAACCAGAAATTGAAGGGAAAATTGGAAAACCATGGGAAATCTTAGAAAATTTACTCCTATCATAGGGAGAAAAAATGGGTAAACCTATGGGAAAAAAATTAAATGGTCAATCGTTATGGGAAATCTTGGCCGGAAATCATAGGAGTTATGGAAAACCGCCAAAGCCAATTGGGGATAAAGCCTGCAGATTTTCCCGTTTCTGGGGGATGATTTTTTATAATTGGAATTTCACCCATCTTTTTCTGTTCATTTTGGATCAATAAGAACCAACACTGTGTCTAATCTTAACCACTATTTGAAAATTTTGAAAAGTCAGCAAATATTTGATTGATTTAATGTTTGGTACATGGAAATTCAAGCAATATGTGCTTAATCAACAAATATTCCATAAGCAAACTGGGATAAAATGCGAGGTATTTATCACCATAACTGGTTGGTGGGTGACGCCATGGAGACTGAACCAGCTAAGGAATTCGAGGGAAGCGAGGTAAGTCATTTGATCGTTTGCGAAGAAGCAAATGCTAAAAGAAACCAGCAAAAACGTGGAACATAATATAAAGCATGTTAAAAATAAGGCCATATAACATCATAAATATAAGGACATATAGCATCATAAATATAAGAACATATAACATCATTGAAATAAATAAATATAATATAAGGACATATAACATCATGATACGGGATTGCAGGGACCCTGAAGCTCATCGCAGCATTGGTCAACCGCTTGCTGCTTTGGCCATTCACAATGCCAGCATTGCAAGAGTGAAACTCTGTGGGATCAAGGTGTTTTCTGAATAGTGAAAAACTATGAAAACTAAGTTTTCCCCCAGTTCTTGTGGCCATATGTTCACCTAATGTTGGATGGATCTTAGGGCTTTCCAACGGTGTCTGTGTTTGGGATGCCCCCAGCACGTTTCCTCACACATATTCAGTAGATTCCCAACATCGACGGTTGAAAGAAAAAACACTCGGCAAACTCCCTTGCCAGCCTTAAATACCTGCTTATCTGTTTGGTATAGAACCTCATTTGTATCAAAAGATTCAAGTATTAAACTAAACGATCCAGTCAAGGCTTGCCCCAGACTCAAAATCAAGAAGTAGACTGTCAGAGAAGGGCCCTCCGGCTCCTCTTGTTCTCTGCGTATCCTCTCTTCCTTCTCTTGCTGCAGGATGTACATGAATCCCTGCCGGGTCTCAGCTGGGTCCAAAAATCTCAAGGAAACCGTGCAAAATCCCGTGAACTCTCTCAGAAATCTCCCGGGTTCCTGGCCATTCCCTGGAAAATTCATGTTCTTATTTTTTTGCAATCCCCAGTCATAGTTCGAAAAGTTAGACACTTGGAAATCATGGGGAAAAGCATGATATGGCAGTGTGTCAAAACCAATAGTACCCCTTTTTTGTTCACATCAAAATAGCTGGTAAATTTTATGGATGTTCATCCCCCTAACAAATGGTATTTTCATAGGTATTGATCCATACCCAAATAGCTGTGTTTGTCTGAAACATTCTGAAACTATGGTACCCTCTGGTAATTTAACATAGCTATGGAAAATCACTATTTTTTATGGGAAAATCCACTATAAAAATGGCCATATCTATATTCGACTATAGCATCCTTTTTTGTGCTTTCACCATGGTTTTGTTTCGTTGGATCCACGTGGATCGCTCCCACGTTTTTTTCTCCCGGTGAAGGAATTTTGGTACCCGGCCGTAGCCCGGTCAACGTTTACAAAAAACGATGGAAAGATCCACCATGTTTCATGGGAAAATCAACTATTTCTATGGAAAATCACCATGTTTAATGGGAAAATCAACATAAATCAACTATTTCGACTGGGCCATGTTCAAGTTCGCAAACCGTTAAATTACCAGAGGGTACCCAGTGAACCTGGAAGGCATAGAAGAGATTTTCCTTCTTGTTCTGCGCAAAGAGCCGATCCCTCAAACCTGTTCAGATCACCGATGAAAGTGATGAAACCTCCAACGGGTCATCTAAATCCACTGCCTTAAAGGTGATGGGTGAAAATTTGGGAAGCCAGCTACACACCAGTTGAAACTCACGTGTTGGACACTGAATTATGAAATTCATTTCCAAAGTCCATGTTTTTGGTTTTGTTGCGGGGTCCATGTAGCTAGTTCTAAAACATGGGTGTCAATGGCCAACTTTAAAAAAGGCTACTTACTTGTCAGATGTAAAACTATCCCAACATGAGGTCAATAATTTCATCCATCCATGTTGTCACTATTTCCAAGATGTTTGACCTGTTCAAATCAGGGCAGAACCAACCAAAACTGGCAACATACGGTAACACATAAATTCATACTGTAAATTCCAGAAGCGAAACGTAAATCATATGGTAAAACAACTTGCTATTAATATAAATCTGGAACCTTAAAAACCTGAAAAAACCTAAATGTTCGCAGGCCTTGTCGCGCTTTGTAGACCATCATTTTGGAGGCTCTCACGTGGCGCGCCCAAAGGTCATCCTGGGATGATGATAAGTTTCGCAATGTGCCATATTCGATCTATCTTGATCTCAAATATATACATATACATATATATGTATATATATATACATACATATATGTGTATATATATATATATAAAATTATATATATTGAAAGTATATTGTATACACAATATAATATTATATATAACTGTATGTATGTGATTTTACTCCGGTTTTGACCCACACCAAGTCGCATAATCGGCTTGCAGCTCCGCTTCGCGTTCCAGCACCGCGTTCAGCGTCCTGGCTGCGATCATGGTAAAAAGTAGGGCGTTTCCACATTAATATGATTTAATATGGGACCATGAAAGTGCGGTATTTATATCATTAGGCTGATGGGTCATCTGGTTGATTCTTCTTGACGCTTTTTAGGTATAGAAATGTTTGAGCCAATTTTGACCCTAGTCACATGCTTTACGTTTCTTGCAGCCATCGCTTTTTGCATCATTCGCTGCAGGTTTTTTGGGCCACCAAGCATTGCAAGTCGTTGGGTCTTCACCCTGAACCACCAGAAACCTCCCTTTTTTTGGGGGGTTGCCACGGAGCCGGGGCCTCCAGCCCTCGGCCCTCCGGTGTGCCTGGTTTGTTTGTCCAATCTTTGGATCGCTTCTTCTGCTTGCATCTTGCAGCAAGACCAGTTGCGCAGCCGGTCCTCGGGGGCTGAGATGGGTCACTTTTCTGGGTTACCATGGGATACCACACTCAAACCATGAGAAAATCATGACAAACCCATATCCACTTCAAAGGTACGAGTACCTTGGATCAAATGCTTGGGGGTGTGACTGGAGAAGTTAATCTTTTGGGGATATGGCCATCCCGTATGGCGACATATATTAGAACCGGACCCCCAGGTAGAGTGGACCCGAGACTTTGCAGCCATTCAGGTTTGTCTAAAAATAAGCTACCCCATTCCATCCCATGGTGTAAACCCTCATTTTCCCCACGAAACTTGCCGTAAGGGGGTGATATTCCGGGATATTCGGTGGGCCATTACACCGATCACCGCATGGCCCACCCGGGAAAAAAAAACACGGTGTCGACCCGGTCGACCCGTCCTCACTTTCGTAGTTGGTTTCAATGAGCCGACCTCTTAGGTCGTTCACCTGCAAGGAAAGTGAAGCCAAGTTCAGCAGAAATGGCTGAAGTTCAAGGTTGATTACCGTGGTTTAAATTCATGTAGAAAAATGCATTTTCCTGAAATGAAAATTGATTACTGTAGTGGGCTTGACTAGGAAAAGGTGTCTTCTTGGTGAACATAAGAACTACTGTACCGGGATTAATGAAGAAAACGTATCTCTTAAAGTCAAAAAAAAAAGTTCTTTTGGTTCATTGGGAGAAGGACATTGCAGAAATGGGCACGTTTCCTTATTGGGTTCACCACACTGACGGGGAACATCCATATGGTGGTAAATATCAGATGCTAATAGATAGATAGATAGATAGATAGGATAGGATAGGATAGGATAGGATAAGATAAGATAAGATAAGATAGATAGATAGATAGATCGATAGATAGATAGATCGATAGATCGATAGATAGATGATAGTAATGCAGCCTCAGATTTTCAGCTGGTGCCATTCCAATGCGAAAATTCCTATACCTCACAGATCGTTTCGCAGACTTGGCTTACGGCTTAAGGGGAATTTGCAGGATTCTCTAGTAAAACACCGTAGTTTCCAGTGGTTTCTATACATTAAACCAATCTATTGATAGTAAAGATGAGTGAAGAGTCCTACATTTACAATGGTTTTATGACTACCTGATGAAAGTTGCCTACATTAAAACCGTGGTTGTTTTTTACCCACTTCTGAGCATGTGTGTGTGCCCTATGTTTCTGGAACCTATGGTTGAAGCCAAAACCGGTTGCACTCAGCATGGCTGTCTCGGATTTCTCCAGTTCCATGGATCCAGATATCGGATGATCCCATGGAAAATCCATCAATTTCAGTGATTGATGCAGCATTCGAATGCTGGTTGAAGGCCGATAAAGATGTGCTTAAACCTCCAGAAAAAAAAAATGGTGAAAAAATGGTGACATCCAATTCTTGGTGGTGAAAGCTCCACGCCTCGTCAGTGAGCTGTGTAATCCGCTCGTTGGCCACGTCCAACTTTGCTTGGAGAGCCGCCATGACCTCCGGCGATTTATCCATCAAGCGGGTGACTTAACCGGCAAATAGGAGATGGAAACTGTACATGTAGTTCCATGATGGTGATTATATTTGATTATATGATGTTTCATCAATAAATCTAGGGGCTTGTTGCCAGCGCTGGAAAGTCGACTTTCCTCATGTTCCTGTATCCTTTTGGAAATGGTCATAACTTAATATCTTAGCACTACGTCGCTACACATACTCCGTCAATGTTAGTACGGCAAAAGAAAACCATCCCAAATGTTACATTTTTTATGGGTGTTGTAAACCACTAAAAAAAACTGGGTGGTTTATTAACTAATTATTGCTTTACTTTACTAACATTATATATTAATTATGCTTTAATTAATCATTTTAATGTTGATAAAGTTACTATAATTTATCCAGATCATATGCAACACAGTGAACCACCCAGTTGCGATTCAGATACCTTCTAGCAATAAAGGACCCCCCAGCTCCGTTGTTTAGCTGGGCTTGTGGATGTTCACCACCCACACGGTTAAACCATTTTGGGGGTGCTTCAATCCCCACTTTTGGCTGCGAAAAAAGTCCGACGATTTTGGAGACTTACTTCGTAACATCGACTGAAATCGTGGCCAAATGACTTTTTTCTACCTTTCCCCCTGGGGGGTTCTGTAGGGCCTGCCCTATTTTCTTAGCTTTCCCACCTTCTCAGGGGAGCCGTCACCGCTTTCCAAGAGCAGATCTTCATCGATGTCGCCAGCACTACCCATGATCACCACACAGTCCTGGCCATGACTTCGGGATTTCAGGGGGGAAAATCGATGGAACAACAACAAAATCGTGGATCTGTTTAAGCTGTGCTGTGCCTTAGGCAACCAGAAAATTGGGAATTGACCAACTAGAAATGGCTTGATTTCAGGCAAATTTTACAGGAAACTTCTGGCCGTTCCAACCACCAAAGATATGGAAGTTGAAGGAAGAACTATATTTTGATTCTAGATGCCAACCAAGAATCAAGTTTGGGGGTTCTAACAACCTCCCAATATCCAATCACAGTTTAAAACAAACGGGGCAGTCAGATGGATGACCCTGCTAGACGGTGATGTCCTTGAGGTAAAAGAAGGTTTATGTAGGTCAAATGGAAGTTGCTGCATTCAATTTAACCCTAAACTACATATCCATCCATTCCTTCCAAAATTATGGTTTACTGATTTACCTTCCAAAGGGTCGCGAGCAGTGGAGCAGTGCATGGCTACAATCCAGTACATCCAGGAAAATGGGGAGTTCAGCCCCTGAAACATGCTCAATTTTGTGGGATTCCGAGATGTGCGAGATAATCTTGCATGAAAGAGCCAGCGAGGTGGGCTTCAGTCACGAGTTTTGGGGGAAACAAAATCCAAAACTTTGTCATCTCTTGGACCCTTGAATATCTTGAATGTGGGGTTCTGATTAATGATAGAGTCTTCCGAATCGAAAAAGTGGCTCCTAAAGAAAAGATGCCGAAAAGCTTCAGATGGAAAACCATCATTTTTCCCATAAAAAAAATCCTATTCATCCTATTAAATGATGGGTTCTCCTATTAAATGATGATCATTCGTTTCTCCTATTTTGCTGCTGTGCATCCTGCAGGACCTGGGGGATGGGATTCATCGCCATGGGAACTATACCCTATTTTCAGACAGACCCACATCACATTAAAAAAAAAACGTTGGGTAGTGTATCCCATCATTATCGAAAAATCGCCATTTATAGGTGAATTTCCCATTATTTCTGATTTCATATGCAGAACTCACAAGCAGAACTCACAGGAAAATCGACGAAAATCGGATGCATCTGTTGGTCGGCCTTCATGAGTTCGGGATGGATGGACATGTAGTAGTACCTGCATGCGACAGCATTCAAAAAATGAAGAGAATACAATGGTGATAGACATGCGATAGACGTACGGATGATTAATACAAAGAGATTATATACATATATATATATGTACATACAGTATACATACTATATATAATATGTATGTATATATATATATTATATGTATATATATATGTATATATATACATATATATGTATATATATATATGTATATATGTATATGTATATATATATATATTGATTTTGATGGAGGATTTGTGGTTATATACTTATTGTTTGCACCGTTTTTTGTTGCGGGATTGAATCCACGTGACAAAAAAAAACATGGTGAAATTGGGATCATGATCCCATGGGATAGAAAATATCCTACCAAAAAATCCAGGAAAATCATCATGTTTTTCCCATCCAGTAAAACGGTAGCTGGATGGAAAATAACCTTGTTTTTTTACTGTAAAACACCAACCAGCTTGAGTTCTCGCGGAGATGTTCGTCTGATTGCGACCATGGAAGACCGACATGCGGTGGAAACGATGTGGTGCTACAAGCGGCTGAAGGTAGGTGATGTCCGTTTATTTCAGCAGAAAACTTGTGGTTGCTTACCAGTCAATAGTGGTTGATAGTGGCTGATAGTGGTTAATAGACATCAATAGACATCAATAGACATCAATAGACATTAATAGACATTAATAGATATTAATAGACATCAATAGACATTAATAGACATCAATAGACATTAATAGACATTAATAGACATTAATAGACATCAATAGACATTAATAGACATTACTAGCTACTAGACGTTAATAGTGATTAATAGTGGTTTATGTGGTTTTCAAATCAGAAAAAATGAAAAAAAATGCCACCATGCCATCTTTTAAGACCCATCTTCGAGGCTTCAGATTCAGCAGGATCCATTCCCGATTCAGCAGGACTGGGCAGGATGCAAGACCCTGTGACAGAGAAATGATTCATCCATAGTCCTGATGTGTGATGAATAGTCCTGATGCAGTATCCATATCCAAAGCCTCCAATGATTCATCTATGGTGCAATATTCATCCCAGTTTAACAAAAGCTCCAATAGTGCGACAATGTCCTCTAGAATGTGGCTGTCATAGTGTACAGGCAAAGGGCAAATCCCAGTTTCAGATTTGTTTTTTCCCCTGATGTCCTTTTGATCACTGATGGCCTTTTGAGAAAAAGGAATATCAGTTTGCTACCAGTTACCTGCTGTTCATCAACCGACGTGGAGGACAGGGACATTGGGACATCGGGAGGTTGTCAATTTAATCTATTTTTTGGCACCCATAGGTATTATGATATCTATAGATCAATTAATGATATCTATATATATATGTATATATAGTTGGCCGGAAAATCCCCCAGCCGTAGTTAGTTCGATGATTTTCCCAGCGAACCAAACCTCCATGACTAGGCCGGGATTTTCCAGCCTACCAGAGGGTACCCAGATAGAAAAAGATAGAGAAAGATGTGGAAAACCCATATTTTCGATGGTTTATACCACCCATTTATGGTGATTTTGGGGATGGTTTATGATTGTTTTAACCACATTAGATCATGTTCGTGGGGAAAGATGAAGGGTTTTCCACATCGTTTTGTCAACGCTTACCCAAGGCATAGCTACCATTTGATCAGAAAAAAATCAAACGACTACCTAGCAAGAATATCCCACAATGCAAAAAGCATGACAATTCTGGATCTCAGCATTGTCACTCATAGTTTCAAATATGATCGCATACCCTCTGGTAAACTAACAGTGGGAAATGGCCATTTAGTTCGTTGATTTACCCATGAAAAATGGTGGTTTTCCATAGTTTTGTTGTATGTTTGCCAGAAGGGTAATCATAAATATGGGGATATTATAACCATTAGAACCATTACATAACCATTATAAAAAAAAATACATAACCATTCCATAACCATTACCCTCTGGTGAACTAACATAGCAATGGAAAATGGCTATTTAGTTCGTTGATTTTCCCATGAAAAATGGTGGATCTTTCCATAGTTTTTTGTTAGTTCACCAGAGGGTACATAACCATTACATAACCCCATTTTCCTAGCCATGGCACGCGAGATCTGCAGCATGGCCCGCGCGGTTCAGTTCTTGCACCACCTTCGATGAGCTTTCACGAAATGGGTTATATATACTGGTTGGTGGTTTCAACGGGTTAATATGCTGTTAATATATGGTTATATATATGGTTATATATACTCCACCATTTTTGGGCTGAACTCCACCATTTTCATGACAACATCCCAAGAAATTATTTTGTTTAAACCTCATTATTTACTTATCTGGTTGGTGGCTTCAATCCCTCTGAAAAATATGAGTTCGTCAGTTGGGATTGTTCTTCCCAATACATGGAAACACAAAAAAATGTTCCAAACCACCAACCAGTATACATATATATATACATACCCTATGGTTATTTAAGATAGCCATGGAAAATGGCCCATTTATAGATGTTTTTTTAATGATTTGCCTATTTAAAGTGGTGATTCTCCAGTTCGCTACATTAAATAACCAGGGGGCAATACATATGTATATGTTCTCTGAGTTAACCCAGTTAACCATAGTTTCTTGGTTTTTTGTGCCCATGAATACTGTTTTCTGAGGGAAAAACAATGGGAAACACCATGCCATTTTGACCAGCCATGACTGGGAATGGTAAACATACCACCTATTAAAATGGTGATGACTGGGAGGTGGTTTATCATTATTCCACATTATAATGCATCCAGCAACAAATGATTTTTAATGGATTCAATTGTATCATGAGCTATAATAGGATGTTTTTTCAAAATTGAAACCAATAGCGTGGATTTGTTGTTGGATTTTAATGGGATCATATTATGACTATATGGAGTATGATGTAGATATAATTGGGATGTTTTATTGGGATAATCTGTTTTTCAATGGAACATTTTATGGGATTCTTCATAGGTAAACCCAACAATAGACGATCGAAAAAAAAATGGGATTACCCTCTGGTGATTTAACATAGCTATGGTACCCTCTGGTAATTTAACATAACTATGGAAAATCACCATTTTTAATGGGAAAACTCACTATAAATGGCAATTTTCAATAGCTATGTTAGTTTACCAGAGGGTAAATCACCACTTTGAACGCACTTCCTCATTCAATGTGATGCACAGGATCTGCAGTTAAAGAGGCCACAGAGAAAAAAAACAGTTTTTACCACCATGGTCACCTTGGGCCCCCCGGGCCGTAATGAGGTGACTCTTCAGGCGGTCGATGTTTTTCCGCGCCTGGCGAAGGTGTCAGATGCTGGAAGGAGCCCCAAAGTTCGATAGTTCATCAGCAAAACTGGTGATTTAACATGATTCAACCAGGAAAAATGGAGACTTGAACAACCAAAATGGGGATTTATACTCAATTGATGATCGTGTCATGTTCATCATGTTCATCATGATTTGCAAGTTGGTGTATTTCACCAGGCTAAACAAGAATGCTTTCATGATGGATATGTACATATATATATATATGTGTATAAAGTCCATAGATAGTTAGATGCGGTAACGTAAGCCAAGTGATAACAAGGGGGCTGGTATTCTGGCAAGTTCCGATGATATTCCAAAGTGAGCGTTCTTTTTTGGGCATCTCAACATATCTCAACCATCGGAGCAACGATTTGGTCAATGGCAATTTTCCACGATGGTGAAGCCAGGTTTGTCCAGAAGATCTGTCCAACTGTTGCCGTGCGTTTCGCCAGGCAACCTCTCTTAATCATCCAAGGTGGTCATTTTAAATGAGCAACCAATGGTGAAGCATGGGATACCCTAATTCTGATAAACATCCCAAAGAATTCTTGACGAGGAGTTCATGGTATTGGGCCGGGATGCGTGGTTCATTCAGTTCATTCACACCTGGCCCTGCTTTCCCAATGGCACCAGAAGCCCCATATCTCCCGGAGAACTGAGTTTGTAGCTGGTTACGACACCCAAACATTTGACACGAAGCCCCAAAATTGGAAGTTTCAATTGGAAACTCACCTTCTGGTAGTAGTTTTACAGGGGCATCCCTCAAAAAAATGATTTTATTACTGTTTAAACAGAATCTAATAGGACTATTTTTATATTATATATATATATATTTATTTATATATGGGCCTATATAGGTACACATTTCCAACCAGAAACACCTAAAATGTGTGCTTCGACCCTCAGCTTCGCCTTGGGTTTCAAGGCCATCATCTCAGCATCTTCCTCTTCCTCATCCTCTTCCAAAATATCCTTCAGTGGAGCATGGCTGGTGCTGGTTTGATGGCTGGTTAGGCAAAAAAAAACTGATTGTTGTTGAAATGAAAATCTGAAAATCTGACATGGGCATACTTGTTTCAAACAAATATATCCTGATATAGGAACTACAGACTTTAAATCAAACTGTTTGGCGGTTGATGGACCAACGGGGCCCCTGCAAGGATGAACCCGGCAATTTTTCACACGGGAGTAGACTCTTGGGACTCGAACAGGGGTTTTAATGGTGCCCCCCAAGGCCTGCAAGGCTCTGCCAGTACAGCTGTGGCAGACCAAACATGGCATATATCTACTATTACCAAATGTATCTACTCACTCTTTAAACCTAATCATTTTGGAATAGTGTGGACTCCTGCAAGTTTTGGGCGTCAGATCTATTTCAATGGGAAAATCTATAGTTTCCTGTAGATTTTCCCTTAAGCCAATCCATTGAACATGTATATGTATATATATATATTCATATGTGTATATATATATTATGTACATTCATCCTGAAGTAGAATATTACATGTTCAAACATCTTCCCATTTGAGATTTTTTTTGAAATAGCCCTATTCTAGTCCATGAATCGACACGGCCAAGGTGCGAGAGGATCTTCACCGAGATACCTTGCAGAAACACGGAAAATCAGGACCCTTCGGATTCAAAAAATGCAGAACATGTCCAGTGAATCTGCAAAAATTCATCCCCAAGTGATCTTCTTCAGAAGCATGTCCATTTCCAAAATTCTGCCGAAAGTGCTGGAGGTAACCGGTGGATTTCGGTGCTGTATCGCTGGCAGCCCAAAAAAAGCAAGAGATTTCTTGAAGATTACGACCTTCTGGATCCATGTAAGTCTTGGGGGCGAAACCAATCATCAGCTCCCTATTGCAAAGTAGACATGATACATACATGTGAATTCCTTCAGCAGCAATCTTGGTTGACACCACATGCTTCTGCTGGTGCAGGGCTGCCCCCATCAAGCCTACACCGGAACAACGCCAAGCCTGAACATGTTTTTTTAGATCTGCCATTTTGTAAGTAGAAAAACTATACTTCATGCATTGTAAAGAATCATATGCTTGAAACCACCCGATTGGAGTTGAATTCCCAAGCTCGAATCTTAACAACGCGACGGGCTTAAACACTTCACATTTCTAGATGATATTCCTATTGAACATGCATTCTCCCTTGAAAAAATGCCATTGCCAGAGTATATTGAACTTCTTCGCAGTTTAAAAGCCAGCAACACCATCCCTCAACAAAATCACTATCCCTGAATAGATGCTTGGGTGATGTGGATTTCCATAACTAATCAGTCAGTCCATCTGTAACCCATCTGTAACCCATCAACCAACTGCATCCCATGGATATCCGATATCCCCATCGTTTGCAGCTGAAAAATCCATTTAAAAAAAAACACATAGATCTCTATGTTTGATGGTGAAAACATCATGTTTTGGATAGCAGAATCGCAAGCAAACATTCCGATTGAAGAAGCTCCTATGATAGATAACTAATTAGCAATCAACCAACCATTGCGTGTTAGTCAAAAGCCGGAAAATCATGGAAAATCCAATATTCAGCTGCCAGTCAAAGTTCCGAAGTTCTGGATTGTCTTTTTAAGACTCAAATAAACATCTATTTACCATCTGGTTATGACTAACATTGCCATGGAAAATCGCCATGTTTAAGAACGGTAAACCATCTATTTCTATGGGCCCCTGGCTATGTTAGTCATAACCAGAGGGTAAGCCACATATCAACAACTTTCTCTGCTCCAATCCTGCACCAAGGTGCTCATGCCAGTTCCAGGGGTCGTAGTGCTGTTCCTTCAGAACCTCAGTCTCCAAACAACTCAGGGAGTTGACCAAGAAAAGTTCATGGCCAAGTTTACCAACAAAGGTATGGTTTTAACGTATAAACATATATATATATACACATATGATATAATATATATATATAATAATAATAATAATAAATAATAATAATAATATATACACAATATATAGTATTATATATGTAACAACTCAAAATGGGGACTTGAGTATCTTGATCAGCAAATATGATGTTATCAATGCTTTGTAATTTCGGGGGAAACCAAGGATCATCTATTTCTGTAGGAAACCATACCATGTCATTGTTTTTTGCAATCACAAATTTTGGGGCTTTCCTGCAGATGTCCTTCCTTCTGCCCTGCAAAACCTTTCGCATCACAAAAATTACCTGGCTGATCCTGGTGATTCATGCAAAAACACTTCACCGACCTCAAATATTAAAACAAAATGTATCATATGTTCATGTATGTTCATGTGGCAATGTGTCAAAACCTTGTACCCCTGTAGTTCACATCAAAATAGCTGGTAAATGGATGTTCATCCCACTAAAAATGGTATTTTCATAGGTATTGATCCATACCCATGTCTGTGAACATTGATAGCTGGTTGTTTTCACCAAACGACTTTACATAAATCATCATTCGGCCGACGTGGGGCCGAGGCTGCGGTGCACAAATTTTTCAGCGTGCCGAGACACGTTCAGTGCTTGTCTCAAACGCTCGAAGGACTCCTGGAAAACGGTGAAAAGAGGCTTTGCCAAGCGCTATATTTTACGCACACCTCTGTGTGTAGATATTTTTTAAACAAAAAAATTGAAGTAGACAGAATATGGATGATTGAATATGGGAGATGTTAATTTTTTTTTTTGTACAGGTTTTAATGTGGGTTTCAGATGAATTTCACTGGGACAAAAAGTTCGTTCCATCCGGGTGTCCTCCGGGGACTCCATCGTATTCACCATGGCCAGGCGATGGTGACGCCGCGGGGCCGGCGCCGTGTTTTTTCGTTGGTCAAACTAGTGATTTCTGACAGCAAAGTCTTAGAAACTACCAGAGTTTCAAAGTTCCTAGAAACACTTCCATAACTTCCATCGCGGCATGTTTTTATGATGTAAATGGCGTAAATGATGTTTTTTCATCTGGCCATTTTGTGAAGTTCCATCCGAGATCTCGGGAGTTTGTCATCCGATACAGCGGCCAAAAACCCTGCTGGTTTGACAGTTGTTGGGGCCTCTGCACATCGATTTTCAGCTGAGCCAAAAATGTCATCCAACATGTCCACCACCCAAAGTGTACTCATCCCACGATAGTGATTTTTCTGTGGTGATACCGATACCCGGTGATTTTTCGGACCGTTATCAATGCTGGGGGAATTGCCTGTGTATAATATATATATATGTATATATATATATATTGAAAAGATTCAGGCAGCTCTGTTGAATCAATGTTGCAGCTGATGCTGTGCGCTCTCACTCTTTTGTACTGTTGGCAAACAGTCTCAGGCTCAAGGCCTGTTGATCCATAATGTTGACAGTGACATCCAGCAGCTGTTGAACTGTACACGAATTGTGTGTTGGACAATGTTGTTACTTAACACGGCCCCTCAATTTGTTGGAGCTTCCAACACATTGCACAAAACAAACATTGTTGAAACGCAATCACATTATGTTGATACTATTGGATTAGGTGTTGATCTCTGTACAGGGCTGATGGCTTGTAGTTTTACATCTGTTGCCCAGCCGCAGATGTTGATCAAACACTCATCTAATTTTGCGCATTCCCGGCTCTCACGTTTGAACCTCTTGTTGCGCAGGGATCTGCTGAAGATCCAAAGACTGCTGGTTGAGGTGCCAGTCTCACCTGTTGGATGACGTCTCATCCTTCCATCTGTTGATCATCATCGGTTGTTGATTGATGTTGCGCCGTGGTAGTTGTTGAATTCCTCGATGTAGCGCGCAACATTTGTGTTGCTGTTGATGTGCTCGAGCAGTGCCATGTTGCCCCTCAATCTCTCAGGCGTCATTGCCCCAAACAGTTCTGTTGGCAATGCCAACCACCATACATCCTTGTCGGCATCATGGGCTGCCACGTTGTAATCGTCCGGTCCCATGTTGGTGGGATTGGACACTTGGGACATGTTGACCGCACGGGTCAGGAGTCCCAGTGTTGTCATGGTCATCTTGGGAATCACCGGAACTGTTGCATATGGATGTTGAGAAGTGCTGCCATTCTCAAGGTCAAAAACGTTGATGTTGTCCGCCAATGTTGGAGCAAAAGAACGGCTGCGATCAAAACAGAGGAATGTTGCGGTCACCGTTGGTCAGCAAAATGTTGACATCAACAAGACTGCAAGTCAAACTGTTGAATTCTTCAAACCTTGCAAAAAAGACATGTTGTGTTTCACAGACATGCTGTACAGGACATGTACGTATACTTCACGTTGTAGGTACCGTAACGTTGGTATAGTCCATATCGAAAATCATGTTGGGATATTGTACAGATATTGTTGATATACTCCATGATGAAGTATGGGTGATCACTATGACATAGTTCATGTTGTCAACCTTTGTTGACACCATGGCTCAAAAGGAAATGTATGTTTGTGTGTGTACGCCACGCACGATGTTCGCACGTTGTACACGCGCTCGCACATTAACGCGCATATGCTGCAGTGAGACTGTTTCTGTTGCTGGTTGTTGTTGTCTGTTCAGTGATGCTGGGTGCTAATGCCAACATCACTGATGTGACGCAAAAGCGTCTCTGTTGCAACGTACTTTGTGAAAATGTCGGCCGGGTTGTTGGTCGTGTTGATCTTGACAATCCTCACAAGATCGTGTGCGACCAGTTGTAGTATAAAAAGGTGCTTGAGCTCGATGTGTTTGGCTTTCTTTGATGCTCCGATTCTTGTTGCCATGCTCTTTCCGCTTGATGAGTCTGTGTGTATGCGGATGTTGATCTTCTTCATGTTGAGAGCTTCTTTCATGAAGTTGCTGATGTGGAGTGCTTCTGTTGCTCCTGTGTTGATTGCATAGAGTTCTGCTTCCGCGCTGCTCAGCGCTATTGTTGCCTGTGTTCTGCTTCCGTAGTGGATTGTTGCTCCAAAGACTTTGATCAGAAATCCTGTTGTTGACTTCCTCGTTGTTGCACATCCTGCCCAGTCGCTGTCGACAAAGACTTGGATGTCTGGTACTGCTTCAGCTGTTGGTGTCTTGGTTGTTGGTCTTATGTATTGTTTGTAGTGTTGTGTTCCCTTGATGTACCTGAGCAAGTGTTTCAGTTTCTGCTGGTCTGCTGTTGTTGGTTGTGTCAGAGCTCTTGCAAGCTCCTTTGTTGCAAAGCCAATGTCTGGCCTTGTGTAGGTCATCCATTGTAGCTTGCCAACCATTCTTCGGTAGGCTGCATGTTCTTCTTTGTTGAGTTCTTGTTCCATCTCTGATGTTGCTTTCAGAGTATTGTTGCCTGGTGCTGGTGCTGAGTTGCAGTTGAGCATGCTGGCTTCTTCCAGCAGCTGTGTTGTGTAGCTGTCTGCTAAGCTGATCTCGTAGTAGTCACCTTTGTTGCAGATGTTTCTACCCAGAAAGCTGATGGTGTTGCCGACTGTGAGTTCTCCTGTTGGACGGAGTAGAAGGTGTTGCTGAATGCTTTTGAACAGCTTGTGAACCGTCTCCTGTTGTCCAATGAAGAGCAGGTCGTCGACGTAGCATAGTATGTATGCATCTCCCTGTGGTGTTGCGTAGACGTTGGGCTCGCTGACAAGTCGTCGTAGTCCAAGTTGTTGCATCACCTCTGCCAGGTGATTTTGCCATGCTTTTGGGCTGCTGCGTAAGCCATAGATGGCTTTGTTGAGTCGCCAAACGATTTGATCGAAGGCGTTGTAGAACTCTGCTGGTGGATACATAAAGAGATCTGCTGTTGCTGCTGCGGCATGTAGAAAGGCTGTTGAGATGTCTCCTGTGAGGCAGATCCAGTTGTTGCAAAGTGCTAAGACGAGTAGCATCCTCAGAACGCAGAAGATTGGTGTTGACGCGAAGATGTCGTCGTTGTCATTGATCTCCTCTGTGTATCCTTTTGCTACTATCCTTGCTCGCACTGTGCTGCCTTTCTGTCGAAGAACCCATCTTGACTTGATGATCTTCTTGCGTTGTTCTGGGGTGAGGTGGCTGATGTGTACTTCTGTATATACACCTTGTTCCTTCATTGACTTGATTTCTTGTTTCATTCCTTCTATTGTTTGTTCCTTGTCTAAACCTTCGGTGTTGTTCACCCAAGGTTCCAGGAGAATATTTTCAGCTTGTATCTCCTGTTCATCTTCGTTGGAGGTTGCTTCTATCTTCTGTCCTTTCTTCGTTGTGACTGTGACTTGTGAGATCCTCATCCTTGTTGTTGGTGGCTCCTGAGCGGTGTCAGGTCGGCTGGCTGCTGTGGCTCTTTCTGTTGTCCTTGCTTGCTTTGGTGAGCTGCCTTGTGTAATCTCATCTGCTACTTCTCTTTTGCCTTGTGTCGGCAATGGAATTGGCTGCCTTGCTGGCTGAGTTGCTGGCGCTGTTGCCATTGGAAGGTCTGTAAGTGCTGGTGGTGGTGTAATGTGTGGTTGTACCAAGGCTTTTGGTTGTGGACTCTGCTGAGTCTGTGTACTTGTTGTTGTCTGCCGCTTTGCTGCAGCAGTTTGTGGTAGTACCACAATGCTTGGTGTTGTTGGTGGTATCATGGCTGGCGAAGAGTTGATGATGTCCATCAACTGCTTGTTGTGCTTGTCTGGCTTTATTTGTCTTCTTATGGTCCTTGCTTTGACCACTTTGTTGCTGATGCCAAGTATGTTCTCGTTTGTTGAGTTGTCCTTACCTAGCCAAATGGCTGGGTAGAACCTTGCTTCCATCTTTGGCATCTGCTTTGCTGTTGGTAGCATGTAAAGAACTGTTTCACCAAATTCACATATTGGTGTTTTGTGTTCTTTACCCCATCGTCTATAGTAGCTTGTGTTTCCATCTGAGTGGATGGAATACCTGTTGAGCAGGTATGCTGCGTGTTCGACAAGCCACGGCATGATGGGATGCTTGCTGTTGAGCTTGATGCCATAGTTGGTCTCCAGTTGGAGTTTGAGAGCTCTGACTTGGCCCATCAATGTTCTGTGGAAACGTTCAACGCTTCCTTGTGCTTGTGATGTGTAGGCTGGTGCTTGCCTGACTGCTATGTTGCTGCCCATGGCTGTTGCCACCATCTTGAGCAAGGAGATGATAAAGTCTTCCTGGTCTGATTGAAGAACGGTGTTGTTGAGAATTGCATGTGTTCTGCCACATTCCATCAGGAATTGTTGAAGGCAAACTGACAGGTATTGTACGTGCTGCGTCTTGTCCTCAAGTTGGACTGCCATACACATGCCTGTTTCAACGTCCACTGCTGTAAGGACTGATGTTGTTTGCTTTTCTCCTAATGCTTTGTAGTACATCAGATCCACTTGGATCACTGGTGTTTTGCTTGTTTGCTTTGGATGGTTGTCCTGTCTTCCTTTGCTTTGTACGCATGTTGGACACCAGCTTCTGTAGGGAAGGTGTGTGAGCTCGTGTTCTCTTCTTTCTTGTTCTGTTGGTTGTTGTGGTGTTGGCACTCCTTTTGCTCTCTTGGCTTCTTGTTGCTCCTCTGGCTCATCTGTGATGAACTCATCTTTGTATGCTGCGTTTTCTTCAAAGTTTGTTGAGCCTGTCCACTCTATGTCGAGTGTTGCTTTCCTCTTTGTCGTCCAGTCATCATCTATTCTATATCCTCTGTTGCCACTTGTTGGCTTCACAATTGTTTGTCTCCATGTTGTCAGTCTTGTCACGTCTGGTCCATCATCTGCTTGTTGTGGAATGTACATGTCCCTTCTTGGTTGGACATGCACACGTTTCCAATATGGACCTTCCTTGATCCAATAGTCCTGCGTTGGACTGACTTCCTTTGGATGTGGAATTGCTGTCTGATATGGCTGCGTTGTGGTCATTGCTTGACCTGTTGGCCTTACCTCTGTGAGAGGCTTCT